ACAGTTTTTTCAATGTTCACATCGAAAAGACGTTATATATATTGCCAGTCAGTCGATTTAAATTACTTAATTGTTAACAAATTCAATTAAACACAATTGTAATTGTGATATATGTATAATATGGACAAGAAGTATATCTCAATAGAATTGGAGACTTAATCGAAAAGAACGAAGGAAGTAACAATTTAAAATAAAAAGATTTAATTTGAAATAAAAAAATATTTAATGCAAAAATCTTGGCGCTGCTAGATCTCGGAATATAATAAGATAATATAAATAACACACATGTAAATAATATATTAATATAATGTATTATATGTAAATATATATAAAATATTAATACATTATCAACATTCAATTTACATTATTTACATACATGTATTACATATTATATATACATATAATATTAACATATTGATATAATAGTGTACATATATTCTTCAGTATTCAATATCAGTAACTGTTTGTCATTTATTTATTATTATAAAAATTTAACGGACGCGAACAAAAGAACATTGGAGAATATGTCCAGTGAAACTTGAAGAGCTTGATTTTCCTCGACTTGACTTGCATAAAAAATATTGACGATACATCTAACCGGCTTGCGGAATCGCAAAAGTTTGCACAAAGTGCCCGTCTGCTTCCGAGATTTTTAAACGTCACGAAATTAAACCGAGCCGCACCGAAATCTCAAAGTCACACGTATAATCCGAATCCTAAAACGGACCCGAGGAATTCTCGAAGGATAACTCGTCAGAAAAGAGGACGCGTCCCTGAGGATCAAGGCGCCCAGTCACCCTAAACCGATCCGCGACCTCGACGCTTCTCCGTTGACGCCTGTTACGTAACGATTGTGCTTTTATCACTGTCTGCATTTCGCGCTGGTCGAGCGTGCGGTGTGGTGTTATATACCTCGTGTGTCACCGCGTGAATCGCGGGAATTGGTTTCTTCGGTCGAGTCATCTCGATCATTAGTTTCAAGTCTCGCGAACTCAAACGAGCGTAACGCCGAATAATGGAGCCGTTCACGATTACTACGCGGAAAAAAGAAACGATATACGCGCGGAGTAAGCAAGGTCCCGGAATTACTGCTTTTTGTAGATACCGCAAGCAATTTGTCTTTACTACGCACTTTGTATCGAGAGAGTGTAATGCGTCGCGACGGAGATAATTAATAGTAATAATTTATCCTTTACTTTAAAAATACGTGAGTATATATAATATATATATTGATATAAAAGATATTTTATCTAATTCTCTAATGAATGATAAATGAATACGGTGTCAAACAAAAGAATAAAAATACCCAAGAACGAAGTTCATCATTCCTCGTTATTTTTTTTGTGCTCTGAGTACGAGTTAAATTACTCTATCACGTCACAATTCTGAGAAATTTGCGGTTAAAGTTGCAAATATTTTCACGTATTATAACTACAGTATGGAACGCGTTGAAAAAGTTTTTTCATTAGAACTTTCATCCCTTAAAAAGAATTTGTTGTGTCGATTATGGTTAAAAATATAATTATGATTGATGCAGAGTCTATATATAACGACGTCAAAGTTGCGACTTTAATATATTATGATATTGATAGATTCTAATATAGTGTGTTTAATAATATCCTGCGATAGAAATTTCTTCGTGCTTCGTTTAAATAATTTTTTATTCAACGCTGCAGCATTCAGCATATTTATAGTCATGGCCAAGTTATAAATAATCAGAAGTAAAAACGCGGTCTTTTGACAATAAGCATTTTGATAAGCAATTCTCATTGTTGGATACTGAAAAACAGATAAAAGAATCTCGATTTTCACAGGTTTAAGAGCAGTTTAAAGATTTTATTTTAAAGCGCGCTGATATACAACGCCGATGTACCGAGGTCGCGAACGAATTTGTGTAAATTGCGATGTATGTATGATATGTCGAGACTTAAAAATAATAAAGTTGCAAAATCGTGCATAGATAACGCGACTGCTTTCATGGCACTCGCCATAAAATCGAAATTCTAAGGAAAAAAAAAGAAGCGAGCCAGCGGTTGGAGTCGATAGATAATTAAGAAATGATATATAGCGAAGGAGATCGAACATTTGAATTTATTGATTTGCACGTCCGTTGCTTGCCTCCATAAATTAAGCCTAATATCGTTGGGCATAGGTCAGATTTTTCGATGAGAGGCGACGCCGCGACGGTGAAAAGAAATCACTGTGTCTGCTATATGCACGGTTCAATTAGTGAGCATATATTTAAGGTGGCTCTAAGGTAAACTAAAAGACTAGCCACATAAATAAAATTTTGGGAGGTTGTTCTTTAACATATAATAAACCATCTCTTAAAATTTGAGACCCTGTTGCCATATAAATTATTGCAAACGAGCAATATAAAAAATCACTTTTTAACATAGTTCTTATGGGAGGTTATTGAATTTTTACCGGAAATGATATATATCTTTTAAGAAAAACTAGAGATGTTAATAAAAAACTGATCACTGAAAGATGAAATCACAAACTTTCTAGTGGTATATGAAAGGTTGTGTGTTGCCATGGATTTTTAAGAAATATTTGATCGAGAAAGTGATGATGCATGTGCGTGTCACGGAAGTAAAATGTCATGGACACGCTAAAAGTTATATACGCCAGCGGGGAGACGGCGAGTCGGGTGCTAGATCTACACTATCTACGCACAGTGCTTGCGCACTGACGCGTAAGAATCAAGACAACATTAATCAATCGACCTTTTATAATTATTATAAATTTATAAACTACTTATAAAAATCAATGGGAACATTATCAATATTAATAATTTTTATTTAGATAAGATGTTTAGGAAAAATCATAATGTATTTTATCAAGTTTTATGCGTGAGTTGTATTATTGACTAACGATGTCACCTTAGAGCCACCTTAAACGCGACGAGAGAGAGTTATTTACATAGGTTGCATTCCGATATTCATTGTCAGTACTGAAAAATCTATATTTTGCTATATATTATGTTACGTATACTATAGATTTTCAGTACTGACAGTCGCTGACAGTAAATACCGGAATGCAGCCAAAGTATAACATTATGAACATTATGCGGGAATGTATTTGTTCAGCTGTCGGATTTTGCTACTAGTTGAAATGCGGGATTTGTACATACGAGGAAAAAATATGCGGTGTTAAATACGATAATATACGGTAATTAAAATACGATATGACATCGAACGGTTTTAATGTAGATTAATAATTAAATGTTAAAATATTATCCGAATTAAGCAACCAATCTGAGATGAAGTAAAACATAAAATATTCAATTTAGACAAAAATTATTAGATAAAAATGTGATATTAGAAACTATATTTTATAATACGTATTGGTTTTTTGTCTCTTTGTCTATAATTTTATTATGGTTATTTTACAATAATTATTTTACACTTTATAATAACACTTTTTAATAGAAAATTAATAAGAGTACGATTGAGTAATATTTTGAAAGTTACAATTCTTATGAAAGTCACAATTTTTTAATCTTCGATGATACATAAGTTATGTTATCTTCGTTCCATTTTAGACATAAATATAGATGTATTCAATTATAGCTTGTCTTTATTTTATGTTATCTTCGTTCCATTTGATCGTGATAACGAACGAAATAATAACGGAATTTAAGCCATTTTATATGTATACATATATCGACATCAGACACTGTAATTGGTATTTAATGTCCATTTCTATCAACGCGAAGATTAACTTATAATCTCGGTTTAACTTAACATCCTTTTCTAATTCTTACAATTAGAAAAAGATAAGAAATAAGTTAAACCGAGATTAAAATTAATCTACATTGGTAGAAATGTACGTAATTGGTGGTTTTAAAGACATAGTGTCCTAGAATGTGCGCACACGGAATGTACGAAATTTTTTGTGCTAAGAAAAAAAAGAAGGCTTTTTCTTCGGTAAAATTGGGTCCGAGCAGTGTTTAAAAGCACAGCAATTTAAAACTAGTGATCGTTCTAATTATAAACTTATACGCATGAATCGAAGGCACTTTTGACTCTGTTATACTATTTCTCTATACTCATAACAATATTATGAACGATATCTATATGTGCGACGCTGTATTTTAATACCGCAATTTAATAACGTAATGTGAGGAAATTTACTTTCAGCTATTATTTCAGCACTATCAATATTCTTGTATTAAGTTGTACTTATACATATAGCGGCGCTCTCTTTTTACGGGTCAATTTACGAAATTGATCGCGTTTTTCATCAAGCGAAAAGCGCTGGGGAGACATGTCGAATAGATCAACAATGATCGTGTCTTTACCAATGCGATGAAAGAGACGTGTCGCGTTAACATAACATGATGTTCAAATTACGCCACGTTCCTTATCGATCGCCATTGCGTCAACAATGAATTAATCCTAATTGCCTCTTGTGTAACGAGAGCAATGTAACGGGGAAATGGATCAAGGGAATGGACCGGAAAAATGTGATTGGGACGATTTGGAATCGATTAGCGTTCCCACACCAATTTACTGAACGCGAGATAAGTTTTAGTAGCGGTCCATATCCTTCGATACAGCTCGGAAAACTATAATTTTATATAATAATCTAATTGTTTTTTAGGTATTTAAAAGTTTTGCGATGTAACGTAAATATTTTCCAATTTAAGAGATGTTCATTAACCATGACAATAAAATTGGACGACTCGAAAGATGAGTACTTTATTCCGGCAGGATGTCGCAATAATTAGAAACCATTAAATAATTACCTCTTAAAAAACCAGTTTACAAGTAAGTTTTGTCGTACAAAATATTGTTTTAATATTATGTAATAATATTATGGCATACAAAAATTGATTCAAATATACTGAAAAACAGAAAATAATTTTAAGTACAAAATATTAATCTTTTACTTAAGGAAGATATTTTATAGTTTTGTAACGGGGAATATTGCGGATAATCGGAAATTTATTTCGGCAAAAATTTGTCAGACTCGGAAATCTCTCAGTTTGGTTTTCTTATCGCTTCGCGACTGTCTCGGCTAAATCCTACATTGCAGGCGACGGATATATTAGAGTTGCAAATAATAGCCTCGATAATATTCTGATAACGCATGTTCCAACACCGAGTAATGGATGCGTCGATTGGGAATAGCTACGATAACGCACGCATACATACGTCCGCACACGTGAACGCGAGAGACACACAAGGGAATTAGCGCTCCGGGAAAAGCCAATCCACCGTATACGGGAGTAATTTAATTGAATTGCGAATTCGAGAAGGACTTCGTTCGTTACGGTACATTTAACAAAGAACGATGTTTTAATAAGACGACGAAGGACGCTTCAAGTGTCTCTCGTGAAAAAATACCGTTGGAAAACACGAGAAACATTTTTCCCCGTTTTTCACAACAGTCTTATATTTTTATTTAATTGCATGTATCTACAATTTTATATTATTATATTTCATTTATATAATATTATTACAGCAAGTTTTGATTTTTTTTTATTATTTAGAAATTTTAAAAAGTGACTAAAGATACCTTATTTGATAATCAAGTTAAGTTTTGTTTTTGTTTCATATATTACAATATTACTTTCTAGTATCACGTTACTTTACGTTTTGCAACCTGATTTGCACCTGTATAATAGAACCTTCTATTATCGCCATTGTGTACATGCACGTTTATATCGCGTGAAATCTTCTCGTCGAATTTGCTCAAAGTTGCTTATCAGTCGGCGAGAGTCTTTGCAAATTTCTTCTCGGTTATCGCAGGATTTGTCGCGTTTAATAATCGTCAGCCCTAAATGATAATTATTCATGAAGTTCGTCGCGTACATTTGTCGCTGCAAAACTATACGCCGGATTCTTTGCAATTCATACTTCATTATTTGATCTGTTAATAATTAATCGTGATAATTCGACAATAATTTATTTTTTAGGTATTTTTAATTTATTTATTTCTAGGTATTTCTTTGTTAACTTTTGTGATCTTTGTTCTCTTGAGATTTTATCTAATTCACTTCCCACTTTATAGAGTCTCGATTAGCTTAATTACCATAATAAAAAGTCTAGTAATTCATTCCAGTAATTAATCTAATTGATTGTGTAATTATAAGTTACCGTAATAGGCTTTTCAGTATACGAGAGAGGATTGTGAGTCTCTATAAACGCGTGGAGTAGCGCTATACACATGAATCAACACGAATCGACTGATTCACGCCCTTTGATTTCATTTAAATACCGCTCTACCGGCGAATCAATACGATTGATAACCAACGGGAATGGGTGAACTCGACAAATTTGCCTTTACTATTCACGAATATTATACGATTAGGGAATTGCCATCACAAATTACGAATTACGCAGAGCTTAATCGCTCGGAAACATCGCTACAACATCTGAGAATTTTAAGCGTATATAATTCATTTTACGTCTGCTGGCTTCTTCGTCCTCGGAACATATTTTAGCAAGTGTCGCAGATTGCGTAACCGCGTCACAAAAATTACACTGCGTTTTTGCAACTGTATTCAGTCAATGCTTAACTCCGATTCACCTTCTTTGTCGTGGTTTCGTTATCGAAGCGCTACGGAATATATTGCGCAAGCCGTTTTTGGCAATTCATTTTATAATATGGATACTCAACCTTAACGTGATATTGAAATATATTATCTCCTCTTAAAACATGACTGTTTACATTTCGTCTTTCAAAAAATTGTGATTTGAGGAGCGATTGCTTCAAGATATGATATCTTTGTAAAAGAATTTTGGGGATATTTTATACATACATGATTTAATTGATTTTAATTGATTTTTTTGGAAAATTCACACTATAATCAAAGAAATTACCGACTAAATTGAATCGTGATTGTTAATGCAATCTAATGATATAATGATGAGTATGGATTATAATACGGAGATTAACGGAAAGACGGGATGACAAGTAAAAATTAATGCAAATAAAGCTAGAGTTTTGAAAATTGTTGTATATGCACGCTTTTCAATACTTACATATTTCTGTGCTCTAGATACAGTTTCGTCGAATATTTTTATCACGTGTCCCTAAATAGTTCATTGAGTTCTTATACAAATGATCTTCGTGACTTAAACCATCTCTTTACGGTTGTATAATTTAAACGGAAAAAAGAAAAAGTAAGAGAAGACTGATTTCAATCACAGCCCGAGTATACAGAAGTTATAAAAGACTAGTCTTTCTAGACCTAATCTTATCTTGTATCGGGTAAATAACCGAGGATTTATACATTTATAGGTATATTATTTTGTCATTACTATACGTATACAAGTCATTTTAGCTTATAGCTAACAAATTATGAAACCGAGTTACATAATTGTGATTAAACCGAGATAAATTAGATTTTAAAATTGAATTATAATTGTTAGAGAAAGTTGAAAAATTTATAATTGAATTGCAGTAAGTTAAATCAGATTTTTTATGCCTTAGAGTTAAAATGCAAAATTTTCAATATTATTGAATTATAATTGCCTTAAATTAGAAGAAGTTGAAATTTATAACTTAATTGTAGTAAATTAAAGAGCTTCGAAGTTAAAATATTTTTAGGTGTGATTTTTTTTTTAAACATGAGCGAAGAAAGAGCTTTGTTGAAAAATTGCAAGAGAAACTTAGTTTTTACAAACTAAAATTGGAAAATTGGAACTTTTAGTTGCGAGTTATGATAAATTAAAGGAATTTAATTTAATTTTAATTACCTAGATTAGAGAGAAAATTGAAATTTATAATTTATAATCATAATAAATTAAAACAGAACTTCCGATATCTCAAAGTTAAAATACAAAATCTTCAAGTGAGAATTTTTAATTAAAATTTATTAAATATTCGGTATCGCGGATAAAATATTTGGACACGTGACGGCGAGCATTGATGCGAAAGATATGGAAAATATTGAAACAAAGAACGATAAGAAAAGTGTGAAACGTATGGCGAGAAGATTTATGGAGGCAAGGTGTTTATCACGCTGTCGAACAGCTGCCCCTGCTTTTCGCAACAATGCGCAATAATGCGAGACTCGCGTGCCAAGCGGAAAAATCTTCCTCGGACTCGATTACGATTACAATCGGTCTACGTGGAAGCACATGCGTCGCTGATAAGCGCGATATTGGGGATCACTGGCGTTACCTGAATCGTTCTGCGTAACATAGATAAGATATTTCAGACTTTATCAAATCTCCCTCAGCGAAGAAAGAAGAGACGGCGGCGAGGAGCGTGTGGTAGCTCAGGTAGCTGCATCACGATTGGTACACAATGTAGTTACCGTCGTGTAGTTGTAGTTACTGTCTCTTCGTCGTCTTCTTCTCTTTTTCTGCAAGCAACGTCATTCGGATGTAATCGGATGCGGCGTGCGCGCACGTGTTGTGTACTCGTACGTATTAGATACGCGCATGCATGTACTGAGGATCCATTATACCTTTGCAGAACAGTCCTGTGAGAGTGTGCCATCATCATGGATGGGAAAGTGTACACCGAGAAAGTGAAGAATCCCAGAGCGGGCGCCAACATCTTCAGCGTCTTGACATTTTCGTGAGTATGAAAAGCAAACGGCGGATACCACTTGCGAGATATCAGGTGAAGAGAGATAGCTAAGGAAGAAGAGATAGCGCGGTCTGTAATTTAATATGATAGTCAAAAGTTTCTGGCTCAAAGATATAAAAAGGTGATAAAATGAAACAACCATTTTATCTTTCAATTATACCCTTTATTTTAATGCATTTTTTAGAACGACGAATTAATTTTTCTGTATTACTAAAAAAATATGAATTTTTGTTCTTAAAATAATTTAACACTAATAACACTTCTTCATCGTTCTTGCAGTTCCAATTTAGTTCCTAATCTGATTTGCGGAAAAAATTTATATCAAATTTAAATTTGATGAAAAAATGGTTTCCGCATGTATTGAGAAATTTCATGATTAAAAAATTTAGAATATTTTTTTCAATAGTATAAAAAAATTAATTCGTTCTAAAAAATATATTGAAATAAAGGGTGATTATATTAAATAAATTTGTTAAAATACTTGTTAGTTGTTTAAAAATATTGTTTTATTTTATCACCTTTTTTATATCCTTGGTTTGGAAATTTTTGGATCTTACGTAGATCCTTACTTACGATTCTTACGTAGTTTCGTGAAATATAATCAACGTATCAAATCGAATTAAAGCCTCTTGCACAATAGGCGATAGCGACAGCGACAAAGTTGCCGACAAAGGTATAGCTTTGTCGGCAACCTATCGCCTATTGTGCAAGGGGCTTAACAGTCTCGCGAATCTCGACTAGACGCGAATGTAATCTTTTTTATAGATCGATTGAACGCACTTGTATAGACGAATGAAAAGGTAATTAAGACGATCTTGATCGGAGAAGTGAAATTTGCAATTAAATTCCGATCAATTCAATCAGAATTAATCTGGCCACATTTTTGTCTGATTTCAAGCTTCAACGGAATATTGTATTCGATTTGATAGTATCAAATATTTTACACACTTGTGAATGTACAAGATGCTCGAGTGTACGATAGTATTATCTCTTCGATTACAATGCATTTTTCTCGAGTTGCTTTTCGGAAGAATCAGCCATAATAGATAGACAAACAGATAGATAAGGAATAAATAGATGCTCTTCACGTTCGTTGCCTCGCATCGTTATGTACATATCAGTAGTCTTGGATGATATGATAAGCGGACTATGTGACGCGAATTATCGGAAAAGTTGTCGATGAATAAGAATCTATAAATAATGACGGGATCATTTTGGATCGCTTTATGGAAATATATGAAATTTTATACATGTCTGGCAACACAAACAGTTTTATTTTATTTTCACTATGGTTTTTATGCGCAGTAACGTTTGTGCTCTTATCTTCACCTTGTTTTGGTTCAATTTTATTCAATTCAGATAACGCGAAAATCACATGCAGTCAATTGATTTCCATCAAGTTCTTTGCATTCTTTATCTTTGAATCGCAACTTAAATCCGAAGATTTAAGCTTAGTTGCATCTCTCTGGTTAGTCCCTCAAATCATTGAAGACTATTTTTATGAAATTCAACAACTCCATGTTAGCATTATATACGAATTCAATAAACATTGAGAAGCATTCTCACATTAATTGTGATTACCTAACATTATCTTGTCATAATAATTTTATTATATTTAATAATATACAATTTTTCAAGTTGAATGTATTTTCCAAGAATTTTTAATTTTGTAGATAAATTTTTATTTTGACGTCAAGTTTTGTGTAAAGAAAGTTGTTCTTAGTTGTTATCTTGGGTTCTATTTGATTATGTTAAGTAGACATCACGCGATTTTGAATTAAAATTAGACAGAAGGATCAAATCAATTTTGCGAGATGATAAAACAAATAGTATCTTGGAAGACAGACGGAGAGATCATAGTACATTAGTGAAAGAAACATAATTTGAGCTGGACAAGTTGCGGTTGAGTAAAACGTGTGTGTTTTGCTTTTCTTCTTCGCAGTTGGGTCCTACGCATTTTCTGGGTGGGTTACCGCAGGGATCTTGAAGTAACTGATTTGTACACCCCGCTTAAAGAGCATACAAGTGGTATTCTTGGTGTTAAAATAGCGAATGCCTGGGAGAAAGAATGCGAGGCGTACCAGCGTCGACTGGAGCAGAGCACGAAGAGCGGGTCGCAGAAGGAAGTCAAGGAGCCAAGCCTGATGAAGGTCCTCATCAGGTGTTTCGGCTTCAAGACCCTGCTGTACGGGATTTTTATGGCCGTTATGGAGATCTTGCTCAGGTAATAATCTCCTCTCACGTCTCCCCTGAAAATCCCTCTGTGAAGTCTCAACCCAATTTTCTATTATATTCCCTGCATTTGTGCTGTCTTGACGAGTATGGAAAACCGATATAAGTTTCTGGCGATTTAATCCTGCGAAATTAAATCCTTAAGCCACGACCAAGCAATCTTTATTAACGAGTCTTTCACGGTATTTTTTAATTACACAAAAATTTAACCAGGTGAAGATTGTCTAATTAAATGAATTAGATGTTTGTATAATTGTAAGTTCAGGATCTTTACGAACGGATGCGATGATTATATGAATTTAAAAGCGAATTGAAATTCACAGATTTTTTATTTCCATTGAGATTCATACTTTAGGATATAAATTTTTAAGAGAGATAAACTCCTATTTCACGAATTTTTTAAACCACTAATTTAACTTCTATTTGTTATTCGTTTTAAATATTTAGAATTAAATATATTTAATAAAAATCTCAATTGACACGCAAATTCTCCCTTTCGCAGAAACATTTGTGGTGCGATCGTCTTTATAAATTAAAAATTCCGAATTCGTAACTTGAAGTAACCGTAGGATATTAGCCAAGAAGAAAGTGAACTTGAAACTCATCAGGAGTTATATCAGGGCTTATAGATTTCTCTTTGGGATGATGCATGTTGACGCATATTAACGTGTTTATCGGCGCGCCGATTCGCTATTACCGCCCACTGAAATCCTCTTATCGATGCAAAATGCCGCCCATTCTACTCGCAATGACACACAGAAGAGGAGGACATAGGTTTTCCTTAAATCCCCGATCCATTTTTATTGATCCCTAACGCTAACATGTCTCGTGTAAATTAATAAAAAAAAGATACAACCCGATTCATTGGTTACATTAGTCGAACCAGTCATTCGATTCATTTCCTTTCCAAAATCTCCCATATCTAATTAATGATTACATTGAATAATTATTTAAGTAATTGATAATATTTCTAGTAACGAATTTTCTCTCGCAGGGTGCTGCAACCGTTATTATTGGGTCAGATGTTGCTCTATTTTAACACCATGGATGTTGACAAGTTCTATGCTTACCTTTGCGCCGCTGGCGTCATTCTATGCTCCGCTCTCAACGTGTTCGTCGTCCATCCCTATATGATGGCCATCCTGCACATGGGCATGAAGGTCCGCGTGGCCTGCTGCTCGCTTATTTACCGTAAGATGTTGAAGATGACCAGAACCGCGCTGGGCGAGACGACGATCGGCCAGGCGGTCAATCTGTTGTCCAACGACGTCAACAGATTCGACGTCAGTATCATATTTCTCCATTACCTATGGCTCGGACCTTTGGAGACCATTATCATCACGTACGTCATGTACCACGTGATCGACGTTGGAGTGTCATCTATCATTGGCGTCGCCTCTTTGTTGATGTTTATCCCTTTACAAGGTAAGAAGGCCGCAACTCTGACCGATCAGGTTTCTGGCGATAAGAGTAATCGAGCGACCGAGTTCAAAATGACTTGATATGTATGTATTATATGCGTGTTTAGAAACGTTTAAATTAGAGAAGCGTGTCCATTGACGGAAATTGTCTTTTTGCTTCGGTTAAATAGTCAATTTTTGAAATCTTGATTTTTAATTGATTTTGATAAATAATAATTAACATAAATATACATAGATAAATAATAAATTACAAAAGGATTATAATAAGTAATAATTTAAATTAATTTTAATTTGAAATCTTGGGATTCTACATTTCTAAACTGGCGGCTTTTTACATCGTCTTAAATACTAACATTTCTAAATTCCTAAGTCTCGCTGCTACGTGTTTCTAAATTTTTTAATTTATTGCCAAATTTCCAATTACCAAGTCGTGTGTTTCTCTGCTTAATTAACATGTCTCATTTCGGCAAATCACTGAGTTACTCCTTAATCTTATTTTACGCCTCGTTTCTCGGAATTTCTCAGCGTGGCTGGGCAAAAAGTCGTCGGAGCTGAGATTAAAAACCGCCATCAGGACTGATGAAAGGGTGCGATTGACGAATGAGATTATTAGCGGAATTCAAGCCATCAAGATGTATACCTGGGAGAATCCCTTTAGCGCGCTCATAGAAAAAGCAAGAAGGTGAGTACTGCCGCTTACACTGATTACACAAGCAAGCATTTGCATCATTAATTGTATGTACGTTGAGCAACATGTTTATTAGGGAAAAACGTCCATTGCAAAACGCATTTGGCAGCGCCTTTGTAAACGGAAACGAACATTTCAACGTAATTAATGCTTAAATGATTAATGATTAAAATCTTAGATTATATTTCTCAATTAATTCTTTGAGGGATAATAAAAATTCCAACGTTAGAGATAAATAGTCATATGACCGAACGATTCATATTATACGATATTTTTCATTTAAAACGGATATATTATGACATTGGAGCGCTACAAACTGTCGCGGAACATCTCGCGGATATGTTCTTTTACTTTCGCGATCCGTATTCTACACCGAGTTGAATCATCTGACATGTGAAGAGCGAATCGCGGCACTTGCTTTGGTTGTACATACTTCAATTGTAGTCGCTGCAATGTTGATACGATCGCATAAAATGATAACTGACGGCGACGGTGACGGCCTTGTCGCTTCTATTGCGCTTTTACGTTTGCATATTTCTGTATTCTTTTTTCAAGAGACATCACCTTTTAATTGAAGATTTCGCAATAGAGATCTCTGCTCATTTTTTGATATCTTGTGTGTTTGAACATATTAAATTGGATATATTAAATATATCTAATATAGATATTTTTATGCATACTTAGTTTATATACAATTTTTATTACGTTTAATCTGGAATAGAATAATGTTAATGATATGCTCAATATCAAGTGTCCCAGATAACGATTGCTGTTCACATTCCTAATTGCTAATAAATATTCTATGGCCATTTACAAAAACCACACGTTATCTATTTATAATTCTGACATTTGAGTTACCTCTTCAATTTTCACACTACGAAAATTGTTTTTAGCAAGGAAGTTAATGTCATCCGATGGGCGTCGTATATCAGGGGTGTCACTTTGTCGTTCATCATCTTTACCACGAGGATGTCGCTGTTCATTACAGTGCTGGCTTACGTGTTGTTCGGCTACAAGATAACGGCCGAAAAAGTCTTCGTGATAACTGCCTATTACAACAGTTTACGCACAACTATGACTGTTTTCTTCCCACAAGGTAACCAATGTCAATGATATGCGATAATTATACGGTATCGGCAATATTAATGAAACACAAAGCGTTTGCAATGCTTTTTTCCTTATTTCTTTATTTCAGCTTCTTTCTTTTATCTTTCCTTACTTCCTTTTTTCTTTCTTTTTTTTATTTTGTTTCTTCTTTCCCTCTTTCCCTCTTTTTATCTTTATTTCTTTCCCTTTTTCATCTTTAGTGTTCTCTTTTTTTTATTTAGTTTTATTTTTTTTAATTATAATCTGTAATTATAATCTTATACGTCATGCACTTTATTATTTCAATATCATACATTAAAATCCTATTTAACAATCACACATTTACCGTTAAAGTATCTTAGGCGAAATATTTTGCATTTTTTTTCTTTTTTATTTATCTATTTTGTCTGTGGTAACTCAGGGATAACGCAGGTTGCGGAAGCAATGGTATCTATAAAACGGCTGCAGAAGTTCTTGATGTATGAGGAACTGACACCTCCCCAGATCGAAGCGAAGAAGGACAGCAAGGATAACGCGAAAGAAAATAACAAGGAAGACGCGAAGGAGAGTAATAAGGAAGACGCGAAGAAGAGTAACAAGGAGAACACGGAGGATCTGGTCGAGCAGAAGAAGAGTAACTACATGATCGCAGATCAGCCGAATCATATCGAGCACAGCATATCCATCGAGAACGGCAGTGCCAAGTGGTTGGACTATGAGCGAGAAGACACCCTGCAGAATATTAACATAAAGGTGCACCCCGGTGAACTGATCGCCATCGTCGGCCAGGTCGGCGCGGGCAAAAGCAGCCTGTTAAACGTCATCCTGAAAGAGCTACGTTTGCAAGAAGGCTCCATTCAAGTATGTTGACAATCTTTAAATGTTAAATATTTAAGAAATTTAAATAGATAAATATTAAATTATTTTACTCACGAAAATTAATTATTTAATTTATTAAAAAATATATACCTATGTATATTTCTAAGTGAAAATGGTTTAGAATTAAATTTAAATGTAATTCAAGTATATAATTATTTTCTTTCTTTTGATTGTGTAATTTAATTAAAAAATTTATAAATTAATATATATATATATATATTGTTTTTACAGTCTTTTAAATTCTTTTTTCTCAGGTTAACGGCAAGATTGCTTATGCCAGTCAAGAACCGTGGCTGTTCGCAGGATCGGTGAGACAGAACATTCTATTCGGACAAAAGATGGATCAAATCCGATACGATCGCGTGACTAAAGTGTGTCAATTAAAGAGGGATTTCAGCCTGCTGCCTTATGGCGATAAGACGATCGTAGGCGAGAGGGGTATCAGTCTTTCCGGTGGTCAGCGTGCAAGGTTGGTGTTGCAGAACTTCCTGATAAGGCAAAACATGCAGAAATTTATTCAAATTTTTAATTGCGACCCATAATCTTAGAGCCTCTCAAATCTTAATTTTTTTTACATAATTTTTTAACGTTTTTTGTCCTAGTTATTTTTTGGCATATTTGTAATTAATTTATTTTATTTGCTTTATTGCAATTATTTCTTATGATTGTTTTTATTTTTTTTTTACCTATTTTCTTTCTAAATTAAGTTCTTATGCAAAATAAATATTGCTTAAAAATTTATATCTATTTATTTTGATACACGTAATAAGGATTTTGATATTTAACGTTAAAAAATAAATTTTATATATACGTGTAATGTTTTAATTAAATTTTTATATAATTAATACAATTTAACTTAACTTTCATCCAAATAAAATTAATTTTGTGAAGAATTCCTCGGGTTTTAAAACAGGTTTTACTTTCCTAAGAAAATGAAAGATACGGTAGTTATATATATTGATAAAACGTTGATAATTGGCAGAATAAACTTGGCCAGAGCCGTTTACGCCGATGCCGACATATATCTCCTGGACGATCCCCTGAGCGCCGTTGACGCCCATGTGGGCAAGCACATGTTTGAAGAATGCATCGAAAAATATCTACGAGGCAAGACTCGGATTCTCGTGACTCATCAATTGCAATATCTGCGCGACGTCGGTAGAATTATTGTTCTGAAAGACGGGGCCATCCAGGCTGAAGGGTACGATTCTAGAGCATTTTTTTTTCTATCTTTTTAACTCATATCTCATTGTCTATCTTGCTACAATTTGAACGTTGTGTATCAACTTTACTCTTTTTTTACAAGTTGCGTATCAATATTTTTTGTGTTGGAATAATATTGCAATGAGGTTGACGTTCGTAAATATTTCGCATCATTTAGTCATACATTTATTTTACTGCTTCGTAGATTCTTAGCTTCATGATTGAATCCTTGGATATTTGAATTTAAGGAAGGGGGGAAATGGAAGGATGATAGTATAATTTTGTAGACCGAAACGGGAAATACATATCTTCGCTAAAACTCTTTATAAATAGGCCACAATATGTATGGCTAATACACTAGTTACACTGCTAATTGGCCAATGCTTGGCCTTCATGAAATTAACTGTTTATTTATCTATCAATACAGCAAAACAGTTCTATTTCAAGAGTTCTTACTTAACTATCTATTAACATGTCAGAAATCGTCTCCTCGCACAAAAAACACAAATATTGATACGCAACGTTCGAACGCTCGTGTGTCCGTACCGTACAAAATCAAACATTTTCTGCGTTATTTTCAGAAAATTCGCTTACAAATTTAAACAAATATTTAGAATATTGTCATCTTTTGCTTCATATGAAATTTTTTGTTCATCAGCACCTATGACGAGTTGGGCTCTATGGGGGTGGATTTCGGTCGGCTGTTGGAGAATCAAGCGAAAACGGACGAGAAATCCTCTCGACCCCCCTCCGCTCCCGTTAGCCGTAGCAATTCACGTACCGCCAGCATCACGTCGCTGAGTTCCTTCATGACGAATGAAACTTCAAAACAAGAACCTGAAGAGGTAATTCTAACATATTCTCTAACTTATTTTCTGAGAAATAACTACTAGTACGTATTTTATTTGACAGATATTGTGATTGAGGATAACTTTAAGTTATAGCAAGATATTAGTGTAGATATTTTATTTTTTCTAGAGCTAGATTTTAACACATTGGAAAAATGCTGCTTTTGATAACTAATAACTAATAATTAAATAACGAACTTCACGTAAATCGCAATTTAGAAATACAGATGTCTCGAAAATGAAAGCGTCTTAATTCTATTATCATTCAATTAGAATAATTTTAGATTTTTACATTAAGTTACCATAACATGTTTATTGTTTATTTCAGGTGGCTGAGATGCGAACAGTAGGCAATGTTTCCGGCGATGTATACACGGGTTACTTCCGCGCTGGCGGCAATTGGTGTATTATATTTATGGTGGTTATGCTTTGCATAATGACACAATTAGCAGCCAGCGGCGGTGACTTTTTTATTGCGCGATGGGTTGATATAGAGGAAAACTATGTAAGTGCCACACATTGCTAAAATAATCGGCGAATTACATTAGGATATATATATATATATATATATATATATATATATATATATATAATTTTATATTTCTCAAGTCTTATATTTTATATAAATATAAGACTTGAGAAATATAAAATTTTCCAGCCAAGAATATTTATATACAATAATACTTTTTACATTATATTCAAAATTAATAGACTTTTTATATATATGAAAGAAATAATAGATATATTTATTAGTATCAACTATTATGTATTAGTATGTACTTATTATTTAGTTGTTATATCACTCAATTCTAACTTTGCTCAGAATCTTTTTTTCAAGATTGTGCAACAAGTTTTGATATAAATAAGGAATTTTGATTGCTATAGAAGTTGGAATTTATAATTTAATCCCAGTAAGTTAAAGCAGAACTTTGATATCTTTTTATCTAAAAATATGAGCAAAAAGAGATTTCTGAGAAGAGTTGCAAGAGAGGATGAGTCTCATGTAATATCAAACTTAAATAAAAAATTGCAGTCCCAACTACAATTATATGATTTACGTTAATTATATTATTAACTACATAATTTTATAGATGAATCAAACGGACGAGGGCGTCGTGGAAGATCCGGAGAGTCCCTTCACTCGCATGGAGTGCATCTACATCTACAGTGGGCTGACTCTGCTAACAATCGTTATCACTCTGACTCGTTCGTGGGCTTTCTTCTGGACGTGTATGCGGGCTTCAATACGCTTGCACGATCGTATGTTCCGCAGCATCAGCCGCGCCACTATGCGATTCTTCAACACCAACACGTCCGGACGTGTGCTCAATCGTTTCTCCAAGGACATGGGCGCGGTAGACGAGATGCTACCGACTGCGCTTATCGATTGTATCCAGATCGGTTTATCGCTGCTAGGCATCATCGTCGTGGTCGCCATCGCGAACGTGTGGCTGTTGATACCCACGGTGATTGTCGGTATTGTCTTTTATTACCTGAGATTCTTCTACCTGGCCACCAGTCGTAGCGTCAAGCGTCTCGAAGGCATCAGTGAGTATCTTAGGCTCGTCTTTCGGTAGAACAGACACAGTTTCCTCTAGAATAAAATAAGACAAATTCGATCACGTTGAAGTCAAGTCGTCAATCTTATCGAATTGACGTTTAATTCTTCGGATAAACTGAATGAAATTTCTTATTTTCCTCAGCCCGCTCGCCGGTCTTTGCACACCTGAGCGCGACTCTTCAAGGACTACCGACGATCCGCGCGTTCGGGGCGGAAATGATTCTTACGAAGGAATTTGATAATCACCAGGATCTTCATTCGTCCGCGTGGTACATCTTCATTGCTTCCTCGCGCGCCTTCGGCTTCTGGTTGGATGTTTTCTGCGTGCTGTACATCATGTTGGTCACGCTAAGTTTTCTTGTGCTGGACAACTACGGTCGCGGCTCGATGGACGGCGGATACGTAGGCCTGGCGATCACGCAGAGTATCGGTCTCACTGGCATGTTCCAATGGGGTATGCGCCAGAGCGCCGAGCTGGAGAACCAGATGACCTCGGTGGAGCGCATCCTTGAGTACAGGTACTCGTCTGTTCTTTGGGCATGATGTTGCATTAAAATTGCATTATCTTTATTAATCGTTTTATCTTATTAAAATACGGGCTACATTTTTTTTATACTTCTTCACTCATAATCTTCAACTTTTCCAATGAACATTTTATAAATTTGAAATAAACGTGGGATCGAATCCACGATCTACCGATTACGAGTCGACTGTTCTCATACGGAGTTATGCGTCATCTCATCATTGATCGTGTATTATTAGATTTTTAAATTCCTAATTTCTTCGAATCCTACCGGCTTGGAACTTTAGATCTTTGGGAGCGTTAAATTTGTAAATCTTTAGATTTAAGACAGCAAAGGTCTCCTAGAGATTATTTTTGTTTAGGTTCATTACTTTTAATATCAATACTTTTCTACTTTTGCGTTTATCCAGACACTTAATTCATAAGATTCAGGAAAAATTGGGAGTATGGAATTTTTTCGAGTATTCTGATTTATCTTTATATTTTTAATTATTAAATCGCGTTAATATTTCCTGCTTCAATCCTCTTTCAGCAAAGTTTACAGCGAGCCACCTCTCGAGAGCACCCCTGATAAAAAGCCTAAGTCCGAATGGCCGCAGGAAGGCAAGATCCAGTTCAAGAACGTGTTCTTGCGCTACGCGCCGTTGGAACCGCCAGTTCTCAAGAACCTCAACTTCGTCGTCTTCCCGCGCGAGAAAATCGGCATCGTCGGTAGGACCGGCGCCGGCAAGTCATCCTTGATCCAGGCGCTCTTCCGCCTGGCCGACGTGGACGGTGTGATCGAGATCGACGGAGTCAACACGGGCCAGATTGGTCTGCACGATCTGCGCTCCAAGATCAGCATAATCCCGCAGGAACCGTTCCTGTTCTCCGGCAGCCTGAGACGGAACCTCGACCCGTTCGACTCGTACACGGACGATCCGCTGTGGCGGGCACTTGAGGAGGTCGAGCTGAAGGAGATGGGCCTGGAGGCCCACATCAATGAGGGCGGCTCCAATCTCAGCGTTGGCCAGCGGCAGCTGGTCTGCTTGGCGCGCGCCATCGTCAGAAACAACCCAATACTCGTGCTGGACGAGGCGACCGCGAATGTGGACCCGCGAACGGACGAGTTGATCCAGACGACGATCAGAAAGAAGTTTGAGAAATGTACAGTGCTAACAATCGCTCATCGACTCAATACCGTCATGGACAGCGATCGCATTCTGGTGATGGACGCCGGCAGCGCGGTGGTGAGTTATTTTTTTTAAATGATTTATCTTTCTGTGTATTTTTTTTAAATAGAATGGACCATCGAAGGTCTCGGTAGATGATGGAGACGAAATCTTTTCTTCTTTCTGTGATCGTGGAGAATGTAATTATGAATTTATTCATTCTTGCGACGCGTTTTTACTTTTCGTTCCATATTATTAAATTTATTTATTTTTATCATTTTTTTTAACAACAGAGTAAGGAAGGGTTATTTGAGTCAGTTGAAGAAACAATTGATAAAGGATTTTCAAGACAAAAAATCAAATAGCCTCTTCTTACCCTGAAAATTGAAAAGCTTTTTCTTGTATTGAAAATTTTTTTCTTTTTTTCTTTTAACTGATTCAAATAGACCTTAATTATACGTGCTTGTCGAATTTATATTGTCGAATGTTTTATTTCCTATGAATGTATCCTTTGGCCATTCTTGTGGCGTTTTATTAATGTAAATTGATTTGAATAAGTCACTTAGCTGCGAAAAAATTGCAAAACACTATGTTTAAATAACGTTAATTGTTTTCAATACGAAAGTGCTGGTAGTATCCCATTCTTTCCTTCCGCGATATAAACCGTCAGCAGGAATGATCATATTTTCATCATCTCTGGCGTAAAAATTTTATACGCGGCACGTATCAAGCTGCGAAGGATATAGCCCTCGTAAGGAGAGTGGATCGTAAATCGTGAGCTCTCTCTTTCTCTCTCTTCAACGGCGTACTTTTATCGTGCACAGGAATTCGATCATCCCCACGTGCTGCTGCAGAAGGAAACGAGCTACCTGAAGAGCATGGTGCATGAGACCGGCACGGCGATGGCGGAGGCTCTGGCCGGCGTTGCCCGCGACTGCTATCAGAGTCGCGCATTCACGGTGCTTTGATACATCATCGACGTTAATTTCTCGCAATTACGTCCGACAGACACTGTGGTAGGTTGCTGCGAAAGTTCCGTTAGTGTTTGCGACCATTTCTTAGGCAAAATTCTAGGGATTCGAAAAATAATAGGAAAGGTGGAGTTGCAGGGTGAAATTCTGTCTGAGATTTTGTTAGAATTTACAATTGTCAGGGTTTACTTTACATTCTTATCTTTGTCCTCTGTATTCTATTCACATGGAAATTCTATTGTATTGTTTATTCTATTGTATTCTTTCGACGTGTTATAGTTTTCAGGATTTTTCATTTAGAATTATCAGCATTCGTGAATTTGGATAATTAAAAAAGGAAAATCCAGAAACAAATATACGAGGATGATTTGGAGATAGGAAAAATTCGGGACGTCAGAGTTTAGAATGAATAAAATCTAAAATTAATATTAAGAGGTATAAAAAATCGAGGAATATGGAAATCTAAGAATATCCAAAGCGGATTTGAAGAGAAAAAAGAAAAGAGGTGAATAAACGTAGAGAAAAATAAAAGCTTGAACAATCCCTCGGATTCGGGATTTACGAACTCGGTTCCAAGGAGCTAAATATTTAGAAGGCTTCAGAAATGCTGAGAGAATAAGAAATCGGCAGAAACTGACGAAACTTTCGTCAGCGGAGTAATAGATTAATAATCGTTTTTTACTGAAAGCTGCACAGTTCTATCTAGCTGGTCTTTTTTTCGATGTAACGCGCGATTATATCGCCAATGCATGCCAGTGCAGCGAACAATTAGAAAATCAGCAAAACTCGCGTGGATCGCGGCGCAACCGTAGTTACAGTATTATTACGTCACTTTTGTATCAGCCTAACCCAGATATTTCATCAGGAAGAGTGAAAAGCTTAACTCGTTGGATCACTGATTTTTCGTACCGTCACTGTGAACTGCCATAAACGCTTTTTGAAAAGAATTTTTTGTATATATACAAAAATTTAATGAATAGTAAATTTTTGGAAATAATAAATTAATAAATACATTTGGAGAGAATAAATAGTAAATAGTATCTAAATTTTTGGAAATAATAAATTAATAAATACATTTGGAGAGAATAAATAGTAAATAGTATCTAAATTTTTGGAAATAAATTGATAAATACATTTGGAAAGAATAAATTATCGAGTTCTCAGGCTTTCTCCCAAAATTCTGAGAATTTAAATGTTGAGAGATCCTCAAACTGAATTATCTCCGATTGATTGTGATTGTTAATAAAAAAATTTAAGAACTACAATTTTTGATATTGCTGTTTGGAATCTTGAGACTCCAGGCTTGAAAAGTTCAAAATGTGATTTAGTTAATTTAATTCAATCTTGAAGAAATTATTCTCAAGGATGTAATCGCCGCAAAGAATCGATGAACCAACGAGTCGAGAGAATTGTACTTAATGTAAGGTAGCAGATGCAGAAAACAGATTTTTATACTCATTGTATATTCCGATAAATAGACGTAGAGTCTAGAAAAAAAAAAAAAAAAAAAAAAACAAGTTACAGCAGTAGCAGGTCCATAATTCGTACATCCTTGTACGTCTTTGTCCAGATCACTGTGTGTATCTGCGATTTTGCAAGGATTTTATAATGTTCCTCCTGTCACACTGGTGCTACAAGTACAAGGAAGACCAAAAAGGAAAGGTGCCTCTGCTCTTAGATTTAAATGCGAAATACTTAAATGCAAAGCGTGCTGCGACATTATTTTCTTATTGTTCTCTTATTATTGTATTGTTATTATTAAAATAGCGAGGCGCATTGTACTCGATCTTCGTTTAAGCAATGTAAAATCAAAAAAGCAGCGAAATCAAAGTACTTAACTCGAAGATCATGTTTTATATAGTCGAGTATTTTTCGCCGGGCCTAGAAAGTAACGAGCGAGTATTCTCGATCGACTGCATGCAAAATGCAACGTGTTTTTTACAGTTAGATGTCAAACTGACATTTGTACAAAATTTGTATCCGACTACTGTCCTCGGCAAATGTAGTTTTTAAACTTTTCGTATCATCCTTTTCTTATTATTAATTCCTTTATCCATTTTGTGATAGTTATTAGTATTGGCAATTAATATCTCAGTTTGTTTCTCCTTACATTTTCATATCGTATGTCTTTATTTTTTGATTCTTGATGTTTATTTTTTATAATTTGCGTTTTTTAATATACTATTCTTTAATGTTTTTAGGTCTTTAATTTTTACTTCCCTTTATTTGTTCTTGCATTCGATTCTCCAATTTTTAGCATCCTTGATACTTAAATATTCTAATCTCAATTTCTCTTAGCTAATCTGTTATTTAGAATATTTTATTCACATATTGTTTTATTTTTTAATATATATTTTTAAATCATTTTAAATGTAAAAGTCGCAGACTGTTTGGGATTCTGAACAGGGAACCTTTATGTGTAATCCTCCAAAAATGTGTCCTCCAAAAATAATATTGTGTTAATTATGTTGTTTGTCTTATATTTATATTATATTAGTTATATCGAGCTATTATTATGTGTATTATATCAAAAAGCAACGAAATAGCGAACAAATGAAGGTAATAGTGGTCGATCTGAGACATCCCATGGATGTCGACACTGTACCACAGTATAAGTAAGAACAGTAAGTATGTACACTTCGTCAAAAAGTTGGAAATGAATATGGCATCGCGCTCAGTTTTTTAATCCCTTTTCTGTTATTAATATTTGCATTTGTTCTTATTTTTAAGCTCACCCACTGAAGTATTGATCACTTTGTATATCGTAGTACAATTATCGTGTTATTATATTGTTACTGTATGTTTGTATACAAATGTATTGTACGATATAATATGATTATGATTACGTATCATTGTATTATACGATATATCATATAGTACAATTATGTATTATTGTATACGATACATAAGTATATATCAAGGTATATATTGTATATCGTATAGTATTGCTGTATATGATATACAATTATATATATATTGTACTTTGATATTATTCAAATAGTTATTGAAGTCGATGTTAACATAATTATTTGAAGCTGCGTTAATACTAGTATCAGGAAAAGGATTGAAAAGGCGCTACTCACGACGGACTCCAGGGTACGTGTTCCGTACATTATTACATGAAACGCAATCGTATTTGTAATCATCATTATCAATATTTATTAATGTATGTAGACAGGTGTATTGTACTTTTAGGTGAAAACGAATTACAGTACCTTACATACAAGTGCCTACATTATGTAACGTAAACATTGTAAACGAAATATAGATACAAATGATTATTTATGATAATTACTCCATCGTTATATATATTTTTTTTCCTCTACTTTCCTGTTTTTTAATTACATTGTCCTTTAATTATCTTAACGATAGCTTACAGTCAACATGTTACATCGTCGATCTAAAAACGAGGATCCCATCAATTATGTATATACGTTACGGCGATGATAATCAAAGTCGATACATTCAGGAGTCTTTATATCCTCGATACAAAACACGCTTGCCTTACAAAGTAAAGTTTCTTTTTTTTTTTCTTCTTTACAAGGAGATATGCGTAAACTTACATTTTACATTGCACACCGATCGTAGGTCTCTCCAACTCTTTATTTCTCACCAAGAACAAGATTACACGTGCTTATCAAAAACGCAGAATAAATAATAAATTAAAATTACAAAAAAAGGAGGCGAACGAATATCGACGGATCGAGTAAAGGAATTCAAAGCGGCAAAGAGATTAGGATATGCTTCTAATTAAAGGTATGTATAAGTACACGCAACTGGACACGGCTCGATGCTCTTCGTTACTCTACGTAAAGTTACTCGTTTCGAAAGTATCCGCGGCTATCAGCGGGTGGAATCAATAAATATAATTAGTCGTTGGTCGAATCGATTGATCTCCCGACGACGAGAGTCGTTCCGTCGAAATTGAGCGAGAGAAAGGTATCGAAGCGTTCGTTAAACCTAAAGCGCAAGGGAAAACAGGTATGATAAACAAGGTATTGGTAAACTAGAGTTATTCCTCTAATAGGTCGCTTACAGCTATCTGGGTAGCCCTTGGACAGGACCTCGCACAGCATATACAAGGAATTATCCTCAACCGCCGCCAACACACATACACACACACATGCCCCGCTATAAACAATTAGAACGTCTTACACGTGCCCATTTTATTACTCTCAACCGTCAAACAGTCGACGCAATCAGTCTGGCGTACAGTACGTAAACATTTATCTAGAATTATACGACCCCAAACTTATATCTTCGTCCTCCTTCGTCGAGTAAGCTATCTATAGTAAAAAGAAGAATGTATACGCAAGTCCCGCGCTACTCCTAGGATTCTAGAGAGAGAGAAACTTTATTGTCGAAATACAAAGACTAATTAATTAATTAAATCGTTCGCTAATTTGCCTTATCGGCGAAGAGCAATGCGCAACGATAATACCGGTAAGAAAGGTTACAAAAAAAAAGAAGAAAAATGAACGGCTCGCTTGCGAAAGAGGGACTGTTTGTCAGATCTCTGTTAGATCTTATTAAATTATTCAGCTCGAAACGTTTATATTTTGACACTGAGGATGACCTGATTTAGATTGAAACGTTTGTTACGTTTTAGATTAATTTCAAAATAAATTTACGCATTAAAACCTAGCTTAGTTCAAACTCCCGAACGCCCCTATTGTCTTTATTTGATTTTCAGTCCGCTAAGCCTCTTTTTAAATTATCCAGTCCGTTAAATCACGTTATTTGCCTTGCGGTTATTGAATTCAGTAGGCAGCGTTCAACATAAAAAAAAGTCAGAGAAAAAGTTTTATAAAAGTCTCTGAAATTTCTCGAAATTGGAACGGAGAATTTAATTAACTTTTTTATCCCTTTAGACAACTAATTTCCTTAGGAATTGGAATAGGAATTTCAATTAAATTTATTATATTCCGGCGGCTGAAAATTTTTCTCTTTTATCTAAGTCCAATAAACGATTTGATTTGTGGCAGCCGCGAGGTTGCTTTGCGAGAAGCTCTCGGCCTCTCTCAGGGTACCCTAGATATTCGAGAGGACGATACGCGTCCTACCTCCGGGAAATCAATTCGAGGTCTCCCTCTGCCTTCCCCCCCTTCGCGAAACAGGCCGTTCAAATATAGCTCTACATCTATATACTCTGCTTACTCGGCTCGCAGATCATCCTTTGCAATGATCCTTGCTGGCATCCCGGCGAGACGAGTACACTAGTGTGTCGTAATACTGACAGTAAAGAGAATAATCGCTATTAACGTTAAAAATTAAGCTCACCCCTTATTTTCCCCCCTCCCTCCCTCCCCCTCTTACCACAGCTCGATTGCCTAAGTTATAATCACGATAATCACTACAGATGACACTTATCTCCTATTCTATCTTTATTGTTGCCCGTCGCTCTCTCGTGCGTGGTACCACCTGTGCGAAAGTTCCTCCGGATTTCGTACGCGCCGCGCCGGGGCCCCGATTCGGGGTTCCCGCGGCATAAACTAATCCCAAGGTTAACCGAGGATAAATAAATTGTGGTACTGCGTCCCTTGGAGGACAGAAATCTCCAAATATTAACGGAGATAACGAGCTTCAAACCTTTCCTCTTCGCAGAAGGAAACATGTGCATGTTACGGATAAATCAACAGTTAAATTATATATATATATATACTGGATGAGAGTGGGATGAATCCTCTCTCCGGTAAAATGCGATTACGATGTGAGAGATATGGGACAATGATTAAACTCGCGAAGCTCGCGGATAAACGACGGAGCTTCGGCAATTAAAATTTTACGAATTCAGGACCTCGATTTATCGAATCCTGCATTCATTTTACTGATTCGTTGTACGAGCTAAATTTAGAATACCCGGGGTGATGAAAATTTCAGGAACGCAAGGACACGTGAGAAAATATCGTTTATCGAGCGTCCGGATATTCGGGGAGGGGGCCAAGAAACCGAGTGTTGCCCCCCCCCGTCCCCCGTCTCGCTCCCGGGAGATGAATTGCGACAAGCGACGATTACCGACACCGATTGTGCGCCCGGGGAGTTCCAGGACAGTCTCGAGGAGCGTCCCCATATATAAAACAGTATAAAACGCTTATACATATTAACGTACCGAGGCAACTGATCCGGGCTTGCGCCGAGCGTTAACGGGGAATCGCCCCGTTACGGCCCCCGAGAGAAGACCGGATCTTTAGAAAGACGTCGCCGACGGTGTCAACGGCGCAACGCACCGCGGCGCGAACCCGCGATTGCGTAACCCTTTAACCGGTATTCGCACGCAGTTATAGGTATGTATAAATTATATATTATAAAATATATAAATAAATGCAACAATGTGTGCTCTGCATATATCCTCGATAATTGGACTTCGAGATTTTTATACATCGGATATTTAGGAATATTCAGATATATAACACGTTGCCTGCCCAGCGATTTTTATGTGACTTACCATGTACGCTACAGTAGAATTTGCATTATCACAAATATATAAAAATATAAAAAAATTAATAAAATATAATAGATTATGATGAAATATGATAAATATATTGTGTGATATAATTAAATAATAATTTTATGTTAAACAGTATTTACTTTTTACAAGCGTTTTGAAAAATTTTGATAGCGTCAGTCACAAGTGATCACAATGGCAATATTGGCAATGTGTTAAACACCTAAACGGCGTGTGCGTTTTGAATTTTTTCAGACTCTCGAATTTCTTCGAAGATCCTTCAGTCGCCTTCGAACGGAACTTCAGAAGCTGTTTTACCGGTTAAAGGGTTTGGCTAAAACTTACGCAATGGTATATATAAATATAACGTAACTAGCTAAATAAATATAAACTCCCAATATATATGTACAAAGAACAGCAGCGCGTTAAAAAAGGAAAGGACAATAGAACGCCAGTGATAACGAAACGCCGATAATGAAGTTATCATCACGCACGCGAGAAGGAAGACTGCGCAATTCCATCTCTCCACACTCTTTTCGCCCTTCGGAACAGTCGGAATGCTGGGATAACGAAATCGATCGTCGATTGTGGAAAGCAAATAGACTCCCTGCCGGGAGTATTTAAATTATTTATACACGGAGAAATTTTCATGATTACGTGCATAACGATGATACATTTTTATAATTTCGTCTCCTCGTTCAGTTGATTAAATGCCTGCAAAGGATTTAATTAAATCTGCCCCCACTGTTTAGAGTTAGTAATCGCACTCTCGCTCGTACAAAAAATTTTGCAAAAATTTTATGCATTAAAAAATCATTAGGATTATATTGCCAGACTTGGAATTTTATGATTTTGAATCATTTAACAATTTTTTATAAAAACATTAGATTCTCTATCGGATTTTTTTATATTAATCTCGAGGTTAATTGTTGAATCTTTTCTATAAATAGCCTTTACAAAAATTTGTAAAATATTGGCAGAAGTATCTTTTCTTTATGTAGGCTATTTATAGAAAAAAATACATAACAAAAAATTGATGCAAAAATAAAAAAATAAAAAAAAAGGCAGAAACGGGATAAAGTATTATAAAATAAAGGAAGATGGAGTTAAAACGGACTTCCTAAGCGAGAAAGACTTTACTTTAGCTCTCTATTTAGAACAAATGGTTGAAATGTTACGTAAAGCGAAACTTTAGAATGTTTATTACAAAATTTGACTACAAAATTTTTTAAAAATTGATTCCTAATCTTTCAAATTTACCAAAATTTAGTATTTATCGAATTTTTTTTGCAAAACTTAACCCTAGAATCCATGTATCATTTTTTTGACCTTCTAATCCATGACTGGGGGCAATATCGACCCCACGCTTTATTTGATCGTAAAACCGGTCCTACAGAAATAAAGGGCCTTTAAACCTACATGAATTTCTTCGTTTTTTAATAACGAAGAGAATGGTATACGGTAAATTTAATTTTACTCAAGTTTAGTTAGTGAAAAATCCATTTAAAGACTGAAAAACGCAGAAAATCAGCAAAAACCTCTTTTTTTAAACAAAAATTTGTATCTTTTTTTGTAATCAACCGATTTTAAAAATTCAAACGGGGTTTTAAAGAGGACACATTAGACTATTAGAAAAAAATTGTCATCGCTATGTTCTGTTCAAAAAGTATATTTATTTGGGACTATAAAGATGAAGAAATTCGCAAAGTTGAAATACGGAAAAAGTCGATGAAAAAACCATAAAAAATTGTATTTTAAGTATTATTTCATTTTTATTTGATACAAAATAGTAAAAAATATGAAAAAAATGAAACATTATATCGCCCAGCCATTTTCTGCGAAATGTCAATCTTCTATAGGCAACGGGATTTTTACCGACTAAATTGTGTGATATTTCGTCTTAAATAATATTTATGACTATTTATGCTCAGATTACGTAATAATACATGATATATATTGATTCTAGCAAAAAAATAAAATTAACTTACCGTGACGAAACTCAAACGGCAAGTCACGACTGGGGTCGATATCGACCCCACGCCCGCTTTGCGATTGTGCTACTTCACTGCTAGCGAACAACTAACGCTGCGCCCGACATAACCCTACTTTTAGAAAGTTGAAATGAATTATGGTTCAGGTCCTGAGTCAATAATGTCACTCGCTAGCTCAGGAGCGTAGTTCAAAGTTCGCCTGGGGTCGAAATCGACCCCAGTCATGGATTCTAGGGTTAATTTCGATACATTTTTAAATAAAAGTAATTTCTAAATTTTAAAGATTACCAAAATCAAATCTTCAAGAATATAAGTTTTAAAGAATAAGAATTCAAAGATTAAAGAATCTCCGACTGCTACGTATCCTTCATATCGTCAATTCAGCAAACAAATAAGCGTCGAGTTGTGCGAGGGTCCTCGTCTTTTTGATTATCAGGCCTTAATATATTTATTTAAAATCTCACGGAGGCTTGTTGACAATTTCTCATTTTTCGCAAATAAGAACTTGTAATTCGAGAAATTCAAAAAATAGAAAAATCTTGATTTGTCCGAAGAGACTTAAAGATTCAAAGTTTCAAGAAGTTTAGGATCTAAAACTTTAAAAACACAAGATGCAAAGAATCCGAAAATTCAAGGATTAAAAAATCACCGATCACAGTACACATCTTTTCAGTCACTGTTTTTTACGTTCTTTCACGCAATGTGTCAGTCAGTGAAAGGAAATAAGTCGCGATCTCTTCATTTTGAAATAAATATTACGCAATACAATATTAAAACTTTCAATCGCGTAGAAGCCGCTGCATTAAAAAACATTGCATTCACAAAGGATCGAACTCACTTTCAATGATCAGCACATCCGCGCCAAACAATCCTTCGTCCCTTCTGTCTCTGTATCGTCCCTGTTAACGGGGAATACCTCCCAATTTTTACATCTTATCAAAAAATTCACTCGTCCGACGATAAAAAAAAATTGTACAAAGGTCCCTACGCGTCTTCAACATTTCCATCGAACTTATCACGAGCCGCGAACTTATCACGAGTATAGCAAATTCACGCTTCGCACCGCCGACTCGCACTGCCACGTCGATGCAGTTGAAAGCAGTTGCACCTCGCATAAATTCCCGTTTAGGCGTTCCCCCTTACGTAACTGCATTCCAACTGTATAGTCCGCCAACTACACGGATGTTCGAGAGGCAGTCGCGAACGGATTTGCCGCGTGGATCACAAAAAATCGCGTATTTTGGTACGAGAGATTCGCGATTTCAACGAAATTCTTTTCCCTAATTTAAGATCAAGCCTCTTCGACCGAAGATCGCGCGACCTAAGGTTGAAGAGTTCATAATTTCGAGCTCAAAAACTCGGGCGAGAGAATCAAGCTTCCGGGAATCTAAGGAAGATTCCGGAACTGACGTTTGATTCTATTTCACGGTGCCGCGCGCCCGCAGCTTCTCCTTCGCGTCGCGACGCTAAATCGAATTTGCTTTCCAATCTCGACGCGATTCGCGAGAAAATCGATCGCGATGTGATAACGTCACAAAGTCGCGACGCGCCTTTTTCGCCTGTTTCTTATAATTTGCACCATCTCCAGATCGAAGAAGACCGTGCCTTCCAATCTCTCGAGTTTCGCTTCAAATTTCGCGACCGAAATCGAAAGAGCTCCGCGATTTTTTTTCTCTCTTATCAAGGACAACAATCGTACCTTTTACGGAGTTCTCGAAAATAAACGTCCTAAGCAAGGGCCTCGAGGCCCTTTGCGCGAGATTCGGATCGTCGGCATCGCGACGTCTCGCTTCGCGATTTCTTCCCGAAAATCGGTATCACGAACGAAAGATCCCTCTCGCCAGGATTCTCGAGAGGGATCGGAACGGAGATCCCGAGACTTCTGAGGCCGTCGCCGCCGCCGAAATCGAGGTCGCCTCGCAATTCTTTTGCCGAATCGATATCAAAAGCGAAAGGATTCCTCTCGCGCGGGGATCCTCGGGATCGGAATCGCACAGACGCGACCTCGAGACCCTCTCGCCTCGAGGGAATTCCAAGATTGGCAAATCGGATCGAGAAGATTTTTCTCGTGGGAACCACGGCTTGAGATGAGCGTCTCGCACTCTCATCCGCGTGATCCTTAGACAAGGACCTCTAGGCTCTCGCGCGAGCGTGCCTTTTGCTGTCCGCACTTGCCGTTAGCCTGCACTATCATCGCGACCGATTGGCAGCCGGTCTCGGACGCGACCGGCCGCATCGCCGGCATCGCCAGCCTCAGTTTGTACCAGAACTTGTGACCGCCGCTACCGAACGTGGTGCCGTTGCTGCCGTCTCCGCTGCCGCCGCCACCGCCGTCCTGCCAGGACAGGATCTTCAGCCGGTCGAAGGAGATGCTGTCGGCGTCGCGGCGATCACGCCGCGATCGCTTCGCGATCGTCGCCGTCGTGCTCGGCAGTCTCTTCAGCGTAACGACGATCGCCCGGGTCGGCAGCGAGGACAGCTGCTTCAGGACCGCGCCGACGCTCGCGTCCGTCCAGATGTTGTCCAGGGAAGCGGGGCTGAGCACGACGATGACTCGCCGGGCCGTGTTGGCGTGCGGACTGATCTCCAGGCTCCCTGCGAAATACCACTAAGTATTTAGAACGTTTCGAACATTTCGATTGTATTTAGTCTTCTTCAGCAACAATAATTTAGTTAGAAAAGTGGATGACAAAGTCAAGAATAAAAATAAATTAATTAATAAAAATAAAGAAAAGACATATTTATATAAGCTGAAATTATATGATGATATTACGCTGGTTAAACATCATAAATTATTAAATTAAATTATATAAATTATTAAATTACATAAATAATTAAATACAAAATAATAAATTATAATTAACAATTAACATGTCACTTTTAATATTAAATATTAATTTAATATTTAATATTAAAATTAGATTCAAACTAGGAATTAAAAACAGAAATAATTCGCAAGCTTCGGAAAATTTCAGAGAAGGAAATTTCAATATTCTCAGAATCTTAAAAAAAAATCCTTTCAGAGATGAGAGAAAATTGTCCCAAATTCTTTAGAATCGGTTTTTCTTGACAACTCGGACAGAGTGGTTTCTCCAAGTTTAAGAGCTTCCCTGATGATTTCTTGATAATGAGACACTTGAGAAGTGCGCGTTATCGGCGTTATCGCACAATTACTATCGGAAGCGCAGATAAATCTCAATTTTCGACAGAGGCATCGGAGTCGCGATATATATATATATATATATATTTTTTTTTAGGGGGTTTGTTCGCGGTCCGATTACAGAGTCAACTCGGGCGGCGTCGCGCTGAATTTATACACTTTCCCAGAGGCACTCTGGAAATATTGTCCGCCGCGGGCGGAGCGGACGGCTGGATTTCACGGGCGATAAAGTGAAAGCAAACCGGCGGCGGTGCGGCGCGCAAGCAATAAAAAGGCCCGGGAGTTCCCTATGCCACCCGGGATAATGTATGAGTTATACCGCGCGCCACCGTGTATATCCGGCCTTGATGCAGGCGAGCTTAGCAAAAACTGATCGACTGAATAGATGCCGGCGTTACGCCTCGTTGTTTCCAGGGAAAACTTCGTTAACTCCAAATGAAACGGGGAGCCGAAGTATGCGTGTGTTCGTGCGTGCGTGCGTGCGTATGTGTGTGTGTGTGTGTGTGTGTGTAAATACGCCGAGTTTGATTAAAATCGGTATTAAATCAGGAACCGTTGAGAAAATGGTGTTCCCTCTCCAGAGGTGCTCTCTCTGACAGACAGCTGTCGAGAAGGTGAGCAACTCAATTTGGGAAACGTGTTTCGTCAAATTGTAAGCCCGAGGGGGATTAAAGAGAGGGATCTTGAGGGAGAAGATTCGATCGACACGATTCGATCTCCGTGCGAACATGTAAGTAATCTATTTAGTAATTCAATTGTGCTGTTATATCCTTTTTAATTCCTTAGATTCGCGTCTCCGTTTAACAAAATTGTACTCTCGATTTCGAAGCTGAAGAATTGGAAGCAACTCGCTTTTTAGTCTTTTGCGATCCTATCGAGTTGTACTTTGTCACAGTGTACTGCATAGGTCTTTAAGTATTCGAATTTGTATGCAATTATGATCAGCAAAATATATTTTTAATATCTCCATAAATTCCTCTGTAATAAACATTCTTTGATTCACGTTGGATCAATCAGATCAGATGAAGGACGAAATACTTGATCCTCGCTCATTTGCGAAAGATAGTTGGGATATTTTTAATATCTCCATAAATTCCTCTGTAATAAACATTCTTTGATTCACGTTGGATCAATCAGATCAGATTAAGGACGAAATACTTGATCCTCGCTCATTTGCGAAAAATAGTTGGGATCGGTATCGACTGTGGGCGAGCGAGAAGTTAAAGCGATGTTTATAATGAAGCGAAATTATTCGATGGCGTCTAAAGAATTTGATAAAACGACGCCGAAAAGGCTACATCATGAAATTTATCTCGCCTATTTCCAATTTCTTCATCGAGCCCACATAAACTTTAATTTTTTTTCCGCAACCAGTAATGTTTAAGATTATTTAATTAAACCGAGCGATTCTCTCAATGCACGAATTTACGAAATTGGAAATAGCTTCGGCCGCAAAGAGTTAAATTTTTGTCTTTTGATCAGTCATTTCCGATTAAGGGCGTTATTCTTATGTACAGTCCGAAGGATCGATTTGCAAATTATAACTTTGGTTACGCCGCGAAACTAGTTAACGTAACTTGATATAAAATCCCCGTTGCGGGAGATCGAAGTGAGTTACTCAACCGTGAACGGACACCGAAGTATTCCCGATCTCGGGTACAGTGCGTATAGGTCCCGGAGTTTCATCAAAATTCAAATTTACCGAGGTCAACGAAGATCCCCGTAGTAAGTGTTGGGATTAATCGAACCGCGAGTAGAGGACCCAGGTTCGAGGGCTGATTGGCTCATCATCGTCACTCGTGAACGGGCGGCGAAACTTTCCGAAGTCTGGCCCCTGGGTACCTCGCGTACCGGGAGAAAATCACGAGTCCCCTGCGGACACGCGAAATCCCGGTCGCTTTGATAGCGAACTTTGTTCATTGACTATCAAACGTTCGGCCGGCTGACCTGCTGGACCAGCGCCGCGCCGAAGTTCATTGCGTTAAATCCTGCGGGGTAGCCCCCCTTTCGCTACCTCGAAGCACAACTCGGCGGCGGCGGCCATCATGTGCAGGCCGGATGCAGGCAAAGTCATAAGCCGTGTAATCAGGATATCGTAATTAGCAGAGTACACGGTGTGCCAAGGCGTGCGCGACGGTGTATATTTAGGGTCGGGGATACAGAACCGACGACGGGGCGTTTGACCCGTACACGTTACCCGATCGCGCACCCCATTGGAGAACGATAGAACGCATTCCGCGCTCCGCGCAATCGGCTTAGAGCAGTAAGGTAACGAGCATGTCGGCTAATCGGACGATTGTAATCAGTTCGCTAATGTTGTCTGAGAGCGAAGCGCGCAATCTGAGAGAGAGCTACGAGCTGGCTGCTTGTTCGCAGCTCGATGCGCGTATACAGACTACACACTACGCGTACGGGATGATCGGCTCAGGGTGGAATGACAAGCTGAACAATTCGAAAAAAATTATCGGCTACAATAATTGTTCTTAGCAAGATTCTTGCTTACATTTCTTATATTCCTCAAATTCCTTATTTATATTCCTTATATTCTGCTTTGTAGATTTTTTTTCAATATCTTTTCTTCTTCAGTATTTTTTGTCCCTGTTGACGGTTGATGATTATCTCAATTTGTCAGTTTCGTCACTTTCATTTAAATCAATTATTATACATCTGATTTGACGATGCAAATCGAGATACCGTAAGCTTATATTTTCCATCCCGGTTGATAGCTGCTTCAGCTCGATAATTACTATAGTTTATTCGTACCAATTTTGACTATAATTTTATTGATTTGCCAACGCGAATCAAGATACTAATTATATCTCCATCCCGTTTGTTAGCTTGATAATTACTTCAGTTCGCTTTACTCGTGCCAGTTTTACTTCCGTCCATTATGACAGTAATCAGATTTTAAATGCAGGATATTCCTCGTGATTCGCGTTTACGCTACATCTTCCTATTCACGCGACTCCCGGCACCCATCCACGTCCTATCCCTCGCCAATTTCGCGGCCCGAAAATATCGCGGTCGTACACATGGGATTCCCCGTGCACCTAATTCGATACCGCGCGGAGACAAACGAGACACTCCGCGGCCGAGAGAGCGGCGAACTTTCTAATTCAATTTGCCAAGTTACCAAGTTGCCGTGATTCCCACGATTCACCGTAAGGTCCCCATCGCTTCCGGTTATACCGCGAGGACCCTCCCCCTCTTCCGCGCATCTCCACACGAATAACGATCTTTCCGTGATCGGGTCTGCCGGGTTGCAAATCGTCTCTGTACTGAAATAAATTGCCCCGACAAATTCCCCGCGCTACCACGTGGTAGTAGGATCGCCGAACCATCGCGTGAGAAGCGGAAAAAGAGACGAGACAGAGAGGAGAAAGAGAGAAAGAGAAATTGCCCCACATTGTTAACCACGTGGTTTCGATGTTACAATCGGACTGGCAGCGGCAGAACAAAACGGAGAGGAGAACGACGCGTATTTTGCTGGCTTCCCTGTTCCGACGCGACGCGCAATTCGATCCAATTGCGTGCCTTTGTGGTTTAGGGATCTATGCGCGCATAATTGGGTACCTTCACGGTCCCGTAATTTTAGAAATTCAAGAAATAGACTCGAGCCTTCGCGCAAAAATATCGCGATTTCCTTTAAAGCGTGAGAGCTGAGAGCACTAAAATAATGAAAAAAAAAGGAAACGATAAATGTGTAAAGACTTTTAAATTAAAAAATTGTATCAAAACAATCAACTATAATTCGATCCCACATAAATAATGACGATTGCAATTCCGTAATGCTTTTAAATTAAATTAAAAAAAAAAAATATTAATTAATATTCTTAAAATCTCTGCATCAAAATAGATTTTGACATTTTCCAATATATAGCATTCTACATTTTCAAATCTTCAATTTAAATTATATTCCTCTTACGTTATTTGCACATCGCAATTCGATGACATATTGTAATCTTTAATTCAGTTTCACGTAAATAATAACGGTTGCAATTCCCATCCCGCATTACACCCACGCCTCTTACAATACATGCATCGCGTTTGATCTTTGTCTTAATTTGGATCCGCATTCTCTAAATTAAATCGCCCACGAGACGCAACGCGTCCATATTACGCGCCTCTCTAATTCCGCCTCTCGTCTCTCTCGACGAAACCGCGATCGATAATACCTCTGTCGTATTATCGCCGGTAGCTAATCCGATTTCGCGCGACTGCTCTCGTGGATCCGAGCGAGAGAAGGGCGACTTTTATTTAGCTCTAATTCATGAACTGCGCACCCCCCCTGTAATTAAAGTTACTTATATCAAACCGCAATTCGTGGCCCACATTCGCCGCTACTGAAATATCCACCCCCTCGTCCACCCCCCTCGCCGCCCTGCGCTTATATTTGCCGCATACGGGCCGCATCGCCGCGGGATGCACCGCAAAATAAACCCCGTAGGGAGTCTCATCGAGTGCACGACGTTTATTCTGTCTTTTTCTCTCTCTCTTCTTTTTCCTCTTTCCTTTTTCACCGTCTTTCTGTTCTTCTTTGTTTTTAAAGGAGAGTCTTCATTCCTTATATAACACGATAAAGATCTTTTTCGTGTCACTGCTACTGAATTCGATACTCCGTTCTCTCTTTCTTCCTTTTTTTTCATCTTTCTATTTCTTTCTCTCTCGCAACGTTTACGGAAAAAATTCGATAACGCGTAAATTCAAAAGAAATTTGGAACTTTACGTGAACGACTTCTCGCGATTCTAGGAAGAGAGACGACCGTTCAAAAGAAGAGAGATGAAATAACTTAAACAAACCTCTTCCTCTTGAAATCCTTGAAAGCGCCATGAGTATCGTCGAGGGAAAAGATTGAGAAATGACTCGAGGGATCGAGGGGGGAAAGGAGCACAGGTGTTTCTCCTCGAAGTGGGTACTCTCGTATTCCGCGGATATTTCCGTAGCTGTCGCTACGAGACTACGTAATTAACCGACGTGAGGAGGGAGAAGGAGGGAGAGGTGGAGGTGGTGTCGTCGTCGCCGCTAATTAACGGCGGTAGTGGCCGTGGGGTACTTACAATTGTGATTCAGCTGAGACAACTCCAGCGCCGCGCACTTGTACCGATGCCTGGACTCCAGCGTGGGTATCACAATGCCGATCACCAGGCTCGAGTCCTTCTCGTGGTAGCACACCAGGGCGTCGCATTCCTTCCCGTCTGCAATGCATAGTCATGCGGTTTCGTGATTACTCGCGCTCCCCCGTCAACTGGGCCAAGCTGAACCAAAACGGGGTCGTAACAGTTAGTTCAATTCGTGGACAGATAAATGAGTTTGCATGTCTCTTTCGGTCTCCCTTTCCCTTTTTCCCTTAACCCTTCCGGATAATTTTCATAGAAACCTTAAATGTCCTCGCAATGTGTATTCATAAGAATGTAGTTAAGAATCTTCCTTTGAGTTCTTTCATGGATTCAAGGGTTAACGAACCTTTTTAGAAAACACAAGGTAAGGGGAGTCCGGGAGACTTGACCATAGAGGAGAGTTGAACCAATTCAAATATCTCGTTCAAATTTTGAACAAAGAGCTCAATCCGAGCACGTGACAACATGACGATTGGTAGTGCGTTTCGACTGTGATTAAGACAAACGCGTTTTAACGTGCTCGGATTGAGCTCTTTGTTCAAAATTTGAACGAGATATTTGAAGTGGCTCAACTCTCCTCTATGGTCAAGTCTCCCGGACTCCCCCTATATGCAATAAATATTGGGATTTTTAGGTCGACGTCTTTGATTTTCTTTCGATCGATCCTCGAACCACTCAAAATCGATCGGACAAAGTTCAGAACAGATTAAATAACTTTCCGACGTGATAATAAGGGGCACCAATTGAGCTCTGTCGGAAGGGGGAAGATTCGCGCCCCCTTATGAATATAAAACAGGAATTTGGCGTTTCTCCGCGAATCTCGTGCGATCCCGAGAACGAGTTTAAGTGGAACAGGATGATGAGGTGGGAGATAGAGAGGTTGGGGGGAGGGGAGAGGGCGTAATAATTCGCGCATTATCGCTTCCGTTTACTCGAAATTTATTTTCCGCGTAGTCGGAGCCGCGCGCGCGCGCGCGTAACCGTTCACTCGAGAAATAGATTAAATCGTTATCGCCCGCGCGCCGCCACTATGCGCGCAAAATGTCCCATAGAGGTAAATAATGTGCGCCGTAATGGGCGAGGGCGCTTGTATGACGGGGCGCGGGAGGAAACGGCGGTTAAGGAAATCGATTACGACGTCGCCCTTTAGTTTTACCGTAATTCTGACGTTTATTTATCGGATCGTACGCGCGCGGAATACTGGGGAGGGATCTTGAAGGAAACGGCGAACGCGGAATAGCCCCCGCGACAATTAAGACTACGATCGTTACCGAGATCGTTTAAATAATTGCAAAATGTCGCCTAATCGAGCGCCTCGCTGTGTTAAGGCGAAACGTAACGTTAACGAAAGCATTTGCACACCGCTTAGGAAATTAGCGTATATCAACATCTTAGCTGATGTTCAACAGTAATTCCGTATTTCATCGCGAAGTAAACATAATCGTTTTTCGAGCAACTCGTGAAGCGCAGCTTGAAAATTTAAATTAAAAACGCACAAATATTTAATGGGTAAATTTCGTTCCCTTAAATATTCATCCGCCGCCAGCGGATCAATGCAATTTTTTTTCGTCGTCGTGAATAATTCGGTACAGCCATCCATATTGATCACGGTGTGTTTTCTATAAATTATTTTCAAGGCCACTTTTAGTTTCTTTTTCATAGAATCGCGTATTTTCTCTTTCTCGTTTATTTTTAATTTTGTTTATCGATCACTATATAGGGCCTTTCCGCATCAAATTATTCAAGACAATAAAAATCCACATCGATTCATCAACAAAAATGTCCAAAGTGACGAAAAAATAAAATATGTTTTTATCTTCATTTAATACAGAACATAAAATATCATCGTTTAACCGTGTCCTATAATTAAAAATGATGGAAACAGGATTTAGAGCTTGTCTTTTTAGACATTGAAAATTTCTTTGCGCATTTAAGAATACACAAATACCTACATATTTATTTATGAAAAACGTACATAAGGCACATCGAAACTCTGTCACAGTGAAATATCGTAGCAATGCGTAATTATTATACATATCGCTCTTTTTTTTCAGATTTGTAGAAATCTTTCTTCCTGTAACTTTGGGAATTTCAGATTACTTTTGAAAAGATCCAAGCTCCAGAGAATCATGACTGTACAGTTTTGAAAGGATTAGATTTTTTGATAAACCAACAATATTTTATGCTGCAAGAAAGTATGTAAAATTATACAAGCGACAATTAAAAATCACACGATCTGGAAATCGTGTGATTTTTACATTTGTCCACGTAATCTTACACACTTCTTTTGCAATTAGCGGACTGATCGAGTCGGAGAGGCCCACCAGCGCGACCGGCCCGCTCTCTCTTTCTCTCTCGCGAAAGTGTCCCCGGCCGGCGCGGCGCGGCGGAAACGTCGCGTTGTCGCGCTCGATTTCTCACGAGCGAACGAATGTCCCACGACATCGCCGCCTTATACGGGGATGCGGAGAGAGAAAATTACGACGATTACCGGCGGATTCCGGGAACTCGCGGCGCGCGAGACGTCGCCCGTTGCCATTAGCGCGATCCGCCGCGGCGGCGTGCTCGTTTACTCGACCGGCCGAGATCCTCGGCACGACGTGACGGTATCATCTCGGTCGGACCCGACCGCGGTGCAGCCGGCCGGCCTAATGATATCTCGTTGCATGGCTAATGCCGCAAATTGCCGGCCCCGCCGTAATTGGGCCCGACGCGACGCTGCGGCTCGGCGACGATGCTCTGCTCTCCTCGTCGGCGCGCGTGAGGGTAAACGACGTCGAAGAGGTAGAGCTGTCGCGAAGATTTAGGTCAGCACGACGTGTTCTTTAGTCGCCCTCTATCCCCTGACGTTTATTTGAAATTCTAGAGGGCGGAAACCGAAGAAACTCTCCGGACGGGACGAGAACTGTGTACGAGAAAAGTCCGACAAATTCGTAAATTTAGAAAAACGAGACGCGACTCTGGGACTTCGATTTTTCCAAAGGTAGCCCGAAATTCTAAAAACAGTGTCAAAACATTTTTTTTTCCACAAATAATATGTGGTTAATATTTTATTGTGAAAGCGCACATTTATATGAAAAGTATATGTTTCCACGTATTTAAGTATACCTATATTGTTTTCAAACTGGAAGAAAAGAAAGTGAATAATTTCTACTTTCATCATTTTTTATCGTGAAACCAGTTTAAATGCTATCGCAATTGTTAAACTAATGCGACAAGAGAAGTCCCTCGTGCTGGGACTTCAATTTTTCCATATATAGCCCGGACTGTAAAAAATTTTTTTTTCATAAATTTAAAATATGTGTCAACGTGGTTAATATGACATTTTTTATCATAACTGATGCAGAATTTGAACGTGCTTTATACATATATTTCGCATATGTTTAAGGGAGGAATTTCTTTTTTTTTTTTGCTAAATTTATCGCTTTTTTCTAATTTTCTAGTGAAGAAACTATACAACGGATCAATGCGAAATTTGGCATGTGGATTTATTTATCTTTTATTTATTCACACAAAAATTAAAAATCATTTTCTCCCAAAAATACGCCTCTCACCTTCTTCGACGCGCGATGATCCCCAGTTGACGGTGTGCACGATTTGAGTCTTCTCATTAATCCCGCAACAAAAACCCAAGAACATTTTACTTTACACACATGTAGCTATCGTTTGACGAAGCGAACAAAAAAATTGAGGATCCGGTGATGTTTTGAACTCAAAATATCAATTGATCCAAAAAAATAGATCAATCTTTTTGTTATAAACAAAAAAATATTCAACGTATTGCTTTTTTTCGTCAAACGATAGCTACATGTGTGTAAAGTAAAATGTTCTTGGGTTTTTGTTGCAGGATTAATGGGAAGACTCTAATCGTGCACACCGTCAACTGGGGATCATCGCGCGTCGAGGGTGGTGGGAGGCGTATTTTTGGGAGGAAATAATTTTTAATTTTTTTGTGAATAGATAAGAGATAAATAAATCCACATGCCAAATTTCGCATTGATCCGTTGTATAGTTTCTTCACCAGAAAATGAGAAAAAAGCGATAAATTTAGCGAAAAAAAAAAGAAATTCCCCCCTTAAACGCCGGTAGCGGTGGTGTTTATTAAACTAATGCGCAAATAGAAAAGTCTTTTATAGGATTTCGATTTTTCCACAAATAGTCGAGAATTCGGAAAACTATGTAAAAACAATTCTCTTCCACAAATTTAAAGTGATATGTGACAACGTGGTTAATATAACATTTCATTATAACTGATGCAGAATTTGAACGTGCTTTATATATTTCTTCCGTAAATAAATACGTTTCCATGTATTTATTTTTACTGTTTTCAAGCTGAAAAGGGAGGAACTAAATCTTTCTCTACCTCTGTCATTTTTAATCGTGAGGCACGACTAAACGCCGGTAATAATCCCGCCGTAATTGTTAAACGTAATATGCAAAGAGAAAACCTCGGTGTAACGAGTTACATCGTTCATATTACAGCGTGTCTGCAGTATTGAAGCGCCCGGCGCAACGACGGCGACGCCGCGGCGCCGACGCCGAGAAAGAGAGAGAGAGAGAGAGAGAGAGAAGGGACCGCGTAAAATCCTTTGAAAGTTCCTGCCCCCGGCGGAATTAGCGTTACTTAAGTAAATTGCGAAAGGGCGGGAAGAATTAAAGTGCGATCGGTTAGGTGAGCAAAAAGGAGGAAGGAAAGAGGAAACGAAAAAAAACCCAGAGAAAAAAGGAAGGACGCAGCTCATTAAGCCTCAACTAGATCGAGGCTCCTATTTACGCGAACTCTTCCTCCTGGAAAATGTCCTAGAGGAATAAAACGACGCCGCCGTCGTCTTTTGTGCCTGCGAAAATTCTTCTTTTCCCTCCCTTCTACTCCTCCTGTTCTTTTCCTTGCTTTTAGATGGATTAAAATTCGGCGGAATTTTCTACTTTCGAAAGACTTTTCTCAAGACCCTCCCCGCCATTCCTGGATTCCTATCTTGCGAGATTCTTTCGTATTTTCCGACTGCTTTTAGAAAAATCAGAATGTTTCAGAATCACACAACTTTGCAATTCCGTGAAATCTAAAATTTTTAAGTTCTAAGATTACCAAAGACTGTAACTCGATTTTCTAGAACCGAGATTATCATTTTTCTCACACTTCTCTTTCTAGACGAATTCTTATGAGGTCATTATTATGATTTCTTATTCTTATTCTGGTGTATTGTGTGCGCGAGAGACGGTGCGTTGAAATTATGCAGCTGCAAAACAAAGATTGCTGCGTTTTCTCTCACCTACAAAATTATCCTCCCTCGAGTCTCGTGTTCTTTTAAGATAAGAAATCCCATAAAAAAAACCCACCCCTTTCAATTTGCAATACATAAGACCCCGGGACGATGCAGTTGGAGAAACAAGGGGTTGGAGATCTAGAGGGATCTTGAAACGGAAGCGCCTGGGAATGGATTCCTACGCGGATCGCGCTGCTATCAGTATATTATTTAAAATATTTAAACAAATTGAAGGAAAGCTGAGAAGAAAAGAAAGCCCTTCAGGGATTAAAACGGCGATCGGCGAGAGGTAGGAAATACGATAAAAAAAAAGGTCAAGGAACAGCCTGCACTTCAATTTTCCTGCCGGAGTCTCGCGGTACTTCTCGCGGTAATTAAGAGTCGCAATTAAGTGGACGAAAAAGCGTTGCTGATAATTATCCCGACAGCGTCTCCCCGCCCACCTTGCCGCGGCGAATTTGTCGTCGCAAAAAAAGGCGGACCAGCGAGAGGGATAAAGGGAGGATGGAGCGAGGAGTCTTCAGCCCATCAGGATCCCGCTTAGTCTCGGGATTAAGGAAAAATCCTCGCAATTCATGCGACTTCGAATTTTATGTCAAGCCGTATCCTTGTCTTTAGATAACGAGATTCTGTTTTAGAGGCCTTTAAATTAGGATAGTCTAGGAGGGTGGAAGGTAAGGTCTTAGACGGAGAAAATTAAATTCTGCTCCTTGGTGTTTCCCGGGAGATTTCCGGCTGGAGTTTCGGGTTCGAGGATTTCTCTGTCTCGTAAAAGCGTGTTTTTATTTTTTAATCATAAGATTTTCGCGTTTTGGAACACTCTTAAGAATAAAAAGAGAATTCGCGCGACTGAGCGATCAAACCCCGAGAAGTTCTAAGAAGTTGAACCAGTCGTTGATTTTACGGTATCTTTAAGCTCTTGGGAAATACGAACGGAGAACTGGGATTTTACAGGTCTTCGGGCTTCGATTTCCAAATTTCTACGGAATTCCAGAATATTCGCAGTTCTCGAGGATTTCTTACTGCGATCGCTGCGATCGCTGAGTGGCGGAGATCGCGCGGGGAAGTTATTTATGATTTGTGAGCTCACCGCTCTCCTCGAGGTGGCCGAACTTGTCTCTGCAAAACAGTGCGAGTGGCAGCCAGCAACGCGCGTAAAATGCACCGGCTGATAGCAGCAGCACGAGAACGAGGACTGCCAGCAGGAGAGACTTTCGCCAGGATCCATTCGGAAGACTCAATACGAACTGGGGCTCTGCAAATCAAAGAGAGAGAGCTCGAGATTTTCGGAAAAGCAAAAGTAGTAAATATAACTGTGCGTAGTGATAAAATAAAATCTGTAAGGCGATACGATCCGATTAAATAATAAAACTGCAAAAACTCTAAAAAAAGATTCCAAACCCAATTAAATTGTTTATAAGCAAAATCAGTAAAATAAATATAAAAAATATTAGAAAAATAAACAAAAATTCTTTTTAAATTTCAAAAACATTAATCTCTAAATAAATAAATCCTAAAAACATAGTTCAAATTAGTAATGACATAAATATAATATTAAAATCAAAAGAAATCGAAGTTCTCTTCGAACTTCAGAAATATTGGTCTATAAATAAATCTTAATAAAGGGATGATTTAATTCCAAAATTTTTTAACTCTGATAAAAAAATACAAATAAAGATTTTTGCGCAAAGATAAAAGAGTTATTGCTTTCTTTTCACCATAAAATAATATTAAGGTACAGCAACAATACAGTGTAAATGCACGCGCTATTAAATTTGACGGTGAATTAAATCTGAGTCCAATTCAAAAACAAGATTCTATCGTCACGTTGTAACAAATTTGTCCGCGAAACTAATTTGTAATAATTAAAACCGATAAAGCGGGTCGTCAGCGTGCGCGCGGTTTGCTAGTTGACCGATATGTTTCCCGGACATTTCCACCGATTATTAAAATGAATTCGACGCTAGTCTGTTTTTATACACGAATAATAAAGCATTCAGATTGATCGAGTGCGTTTTGCGTCGAGCTGTAATTAACAATCACGACCAGTAAATAACAAACGGAATTATTTAATTACAACATCCGCCGGGTATATTTCAGATCTCATTTCGCATAAAAAGCTTTCGGGATTTCGATACAGTATTAAAAAAAAAGTAAATGTTACGTTGAAAACGCCAGAAATTAACGTTCAATGATAAATTCACGTAACGCGTAAAAGTATTAAATTAATATCAAAAATATAAATACAAATTAATAAATAAAAAAATAAATTTAATGCGGGATTATTCAATCCTGTTTTTATTCAAAATTTACGATGACAAAGAGAAGTTGAAGAGATTTCGCATAGTCTTACTGACCTCGCAACACATGAGCTGCCAATGTGATCTCCTCGTCGACGCCGTTGCTGACTTCGCATTTGTACTCGCCGTAATCCTCAAGAGTGACGTCCACAATCTCCAAGTAGGAGCCGATTATCTGATCGTTCTCTCTGCAAACAGAAACGCGGATAAAAACAATTAGTGGAATTTTAATAATTGCACGTGCTGGATTAAAGAGAACTATCCCTAAGAGAAAAATTCTTTAAAGAAAAATAATTTTAATGTTTTAAAAATATAAATTTTTTTATTCTTTAAAACTAATAAAAATTTTTTAAGGAAAAATAAAAGATATCTGTGCGTGAGAGATTTGAAAAATATAATTTTGATACACTTATTTTCTATCGACCTATCTGATCCATTCAATCTTAATTTTGATTAATTCGGTTTGAAAACTTTGAGTCCCTTCGGGGATTCGGAGGACTTTAAAAACTTTAAGCTCATTTTTGTGCACGTCGAAGAAAATCGTTCCATCAAATTCTCAATTTTCAATTAATATCAATCAAATTTAATTATATAAAGATTTCCTTTGCAGTTTAATTACCAAATTTTTAATAAGAATAAAACTGTCACGAGGGACGAAACTTTAGAGACTAGCTTTAAGAGAACTGCCACCGAATCTCCAAGGACTTTATGGTCCAAAGATTCTACCAAGAGTCCACAGGTCTCCGCGGCAATTAAATCTGTCAATCTACATGGAAAGGCATAAAACCTGTGATGTCCATTTCGCAATACAGGAATTAATAAAAAATTCTGTCGCAGACATTTGCGTGACGCGAGTTAAGCGTCGACGTAGTCGACGGCATCCGTTTTTCAAATCTCCGGTTACATCTCGCGCGGATATTGCAGCGCGAAAAAAAGCGCGACATTATTGCACATTTTTTCCCCCATTCGCGTTTTGCAATCTAGAATGCGCATTGAGGCGCGTGAGTTTCGCGTCGCGCGGAGCTCGTTCTACTTTTTTCGGCTGTTCGCCGACCGGACGCGAGAACAAACCACCTTTTCCCGCTGCGCGCGAAGGATAAACAGAAAAACAAAGGTCCCGCGTTTCATTCGGCGATTCGGCGGTGTAACGAAAGCCGCGAAAGAGCGAGGGGCCCGCGCACACGTCGTCCACCCTGTTACCTACACAATCGTTTAACGCGCGGACCATTTCGCCGTGCTAACTGCTAATTTAATTACGAGCGCGGCCGATTCGGCCCGGCCCGGCACGCCGCGACGACTTACCTGCACAATTAATTCTCACCGCGTAATTTCATTCATTCGAGCCCGTCCGCTCGCACCCGCGCCGTCTCGCCCGCGGCGCAACAAAAGCGAAATGCGGACGCGGCAAACAAATAAATTCGGCGTTTCGGAATGAGCGAGTGGAGGAAGCGGATGTAAGCATGTGGTGCCCGATTAACGGGCGATGGAGCACATTTCGTGTAAAATGAGAGAGAAAGAAAGAGAGAGAGAGAGAGGCAGAGACAATTAATTAGATTTATTAGAAAATTAACAGATAATTTTGATACAAGCTGTCGGATATTGCCGCGTGCGAATGCATGCGTTTCATGATCAGTTTCACGAAACGCTCACATTGGAAGAAAATCGTTCTGGCGTCGAAAGTCTCGCGGGCGAGATATCCCGATTTTCGCTAGTATCTGCGACTTTCACGAATTGTCGCGAATTCGTGAAAACGCAAAAAGTTGGGAAACTTTTAGCGTAATATCGCTAGGAGGCCGGATACGGTTACAGCATCGATATAAATTCCGCTTCGGAAGGTCGCGCGTTGACGCGAGAGAGACGCGTTCAGCGTAGATAAATCGTTCGCATTTTTTTTTTTTGACACAGACCTTTGTGTGTAACAATAGCTCCGAAATATGTACGAGCCATCAATATTCGAAAATATTGACTTTCACTGCTCGCCGCTGTCATTTTCTCGCGGAACGATGAACCCGTCATTATTTTTTTTTTTCAGCGAGAACCGCCGAAAATACCTCGGATACGCGCGCGTCCCCGGATTTCAGCGCATATGTATGGTTTATTAATTAAAAACTCGATTCCCGCTCGATTTTGCGCACCAATTGCACCGACCCGTGAAGGCGTGAAGGCCAAGTCAGCCGAAAATGACGGTCTTTTACCCTTCCGCTCCCGTTCGTTTCGTACCCCTCCACCCCGCTATAGTCGGGATCCAACGGGATCGGGGTACGCTCGTGCCTGACGTTTATGCGCTCGCGATGACATGAGGATCGTGCGCATTGACCGGTGCCGCTTTCTCCGCAATTTGCCAAACGCGCTTTACCTTTACCGAATAAATCGCGTGTCCGCGATACCGCACGGCGTGGCACAATCGATAGCGAGGCGATGTGAGGCGAGGCGAGTCGCATTCTGCGGATCCGACTGTCGCCAGATCCAAACCGTTGGACGCTGAATGCATAACAAACGCATCCCGCAATTCCGCTTCGCCGAGTATATAGTAAGATCCAAAAGTTTCAGGGCCAAGATATAAAAAAAAAGATAAAATAAAACAACCATCTTAATTCAATAATTTTTATTTTTTTAGAACGATGAATTAATTTTTCTATACCATTCAAAAAATATTTTAAATTTCTGTCTTTAAAATAGTTTAACATTGTGGAAATCACTTTTTCGTCATTGGTAAATTTTTTTCCACGTAAATCGGACTTCAATTATGAAAATAAAAAATAATCATTATAGAGGCTAAATTGAGGCTGTAGAGCGGTAATGAAGAAGTGATCTCCACAGTTAAGTTAAACTGTTTTAAGAATGAAAATTCAGAATTTTCTCAATATAAAAAAATCGATTCATCGTTTTAAAAATGTATTAAAATAAAAAAATTATATAAAAAAATAAGATTATATTAAAGAAGTGGTCGTTTTATTTTATAATCTTTCATTTTATCACCTTTTTTACATCCTTAGGTCAGAAACTCGTGCCACATAAGTTCGAAAATCCACGAAAGAGGAAAAAAAGAAGACTCTCGAACCCTTTGCGGAACTGAACGAGCGATCTCGATCATCGACACGTGGATGATTCAGGATCGTCGTAATTTAGAGCGATCGAGACGAAGGGGCAGGAGGGACACCATTGGTTATCCGTTCTAGGTATTGCGGTGGCTTTTTATTCGATTAAAGTGCCGCGAGTAACACGGGCGACCCGTTTCTACGAACGCTCTATAAATTCCGGCCCGTTAAGTTGATTAAAACTATTCCAATTGATGGCATCATACGTCGAACCGCCGCGGCCTTTCCCGCGAACTCTCCATGCTGATCGATCAATCGGATCGAAACGCCGCATCCGAAAATAGAATGCGTGACATTGGAACGTAAATTTTCTTTGAAACAGATAGATAAGACCTTTTTAATGTAAGATTTTAAAAATTGATCTACAAATCTTATATCAATTACAAAAATTGTATACTAAAACTTTTAAAAACTTGAAAGCTAATATACAAGATTTTAAATTAATAAAAACTTGTAAGTTATCTGATTGATTTGCTTGTATAAATATTGAGATCGTTATAAAATGAAAAACGGATTGTCGTTAATAGTAACATTGTGTATTATTTTCACAATATTAAAAACTCCAGCGAATCTCGACGATTAACAATCTGCGAAGAACTTCGAAACCACTTGTTTGGTACTCGCGTGTAAATAGTTACTTGTAAATAGTTGTTAGTTGCGTCATTGTATTGTATTCGCGTTAGATTAGTTGCTTAGCATCTTTGTATATATTTGTCTCGTTTACGGTCGGTAACGAGGCTCACTTCGTATTAGCGACTCGCGCGCGACGTTGGCGGATCGCGATCCATTCGATAGTCAATGTTCGCGCGACTCACCCGACTCGTGCTGCCCGCACGCGGGCGGCCACCCCAAGCACGAAGTAGAGGAGCTTCTTCCCGGTGTCTTCGCGAGGCGCAAGCACCGGCACAGTTGTATTTCGTACGCGAGAGAAGACAGTAAAATTTGGGGCCGTACTCGACGCCTCACGTCTCGGACCGTCGTCGTCTCTCGCTTTTCGAGAAGAATTACATCGTATCGATAGAATCTTGCCACGTAGTGATTTTGTGGACGGTATTCCGCGCCCGGGTGCACCCCGCGAAACGGCGCCGTGTGATTCGAATCGTGTGCATTAACGCTTGCTTGCTTGTCTTCCGCCTGCACGCACGATCACGCGATCCGCATGCGTCTTGCACGACCATCCTGCCTGGGCTGACTCTCCGCCACCACGAGAACCAGGAGGAAGGACGGAGGCTGTGCGAGGACATCACGGGCTACGATACGGTGAGTCGCTTCGCACCCCCCTTTTTTTGGCATTTCTAATCGCTTTCGTGAGGGCACGGGCCCTCTGGTCCTTCAACCGAGTTTGACCAATCGCGAATCCGGGGCGGATAAACACCCCCCCGAGCACCACTTTTAATCCGTTTCTCGTTATCGAAAAACGACGCTTTTACGTATCCGTAGAGCGGTTTATTTCGCATTTCATATTTTTAATTGAAATAAAAATTACGACGGCAAAAACTACTTTTTATAGAAATGACGGAGAGCCAATAAATCGAGTAGAGTGAAGTAAAAGTGTATAACGAATGAACACAATTACGCGTTTCTTTGTATACCTAGACTTTTTAGCAACCGAACGATTTTATAATAATAATAGTGCAATTGTAATATTAATGCAATTACTTAATTACTTATGACGTCACGCGCCACAATACACAAATTGATGTATGTTGCGACATATAACGTTGCAAATAATTACATGATAGATCACATATAATAATGTAATAAATATAATAATTATTATCGATGATTGATGATTGTTTGCCATAATAATAGTCTTTCCGTCGCTTCTCTTATTCCGCGTGACGTGCCCGCCGCGCAATAACGTCGCACGTGCAGTGTCCTCATTAGGGATCAGCTCGCCCGCAATTAACGAACAATTGTCGGCGCAATTGTCGCAATGATTGTTCGATGCGGGTGCGTTAGGAGCGCGCGGCATTTCTAGAAAATTGCCGCGCCGCGTTCGTAACTCGGCGACGCGACGTCGCGTCGCGTCGAACGGCACACGCTCTTTCGAATTCGAGTTTGAATCGTATTCCATTTTAGCACGTCTC